AATATTGGTTGTTATGAAGGTACTCCTATGATGGAAACAAGACAGTACAGCATCGTATCTTCGTATTATTATTGTTTAGCAATGTTGACCGGAATCTGATTAAATTCTGTGGGCTGTTTTGTTAGTTTCCGTAATTAATTACGATTTCTCAGTTGATTTTTATTGATAGTATAGTGCTAGATACTTTAATTCATATTCATGATAACGACATGTGTGTGCAAAGTGGCGAGTATGGTGGCACATCAATCGCAGTTACATGTTCGAATCCTCGAAAAACTATTTTTGCAGATTTCATTTTTTTTTAATTATATGCATCATTAGTGAATGAATCATTTGTTTAATATCCGGTGTGTTATCTAATAAAATAATGTTTCATTTGAACCTACAGCCTTCAATTTGAAACTGAAAGTCTCAACTCCTTGTCACTGGGGCAAGTTATATAAGAGTATTATGTTAGCAACTTGATATACACACACAATGTATACCGGTATGCCATACTTGAAAATCCGTAATATTTACATCCCAATCCGATAATAATCGATAAAAGGTCATTGAATATTTAAATGTCTCAGGTCAAAATTGCGCGAATTTATACCTTAAAGGAACTCCGCCGAGATCCTAAAGCATAAAAACATAAATTTTGAATTTCGTACACAGATCATTCGGGGCACTTAAAACGGAAAGATATGCAAAATACAATTAAGGAATATACTTATAAATTAAAAATCGTTTATTTGTGCAATTCTTAGCCAGTCTGAGTGAAAAGCGTTGCAATTTCGGGTCATTTTTCACAATGAGAATACTTAATTATTTTGGAAAAACTGAGTGAGCGAATTATCTGAAATTTTGCACAAAAATATAGTACTGGTCTACTCGAATAATTATTTACAGTCTCGCCATGTCGAAAGACAAGACCTCGGTGGAGTTTCTTTAATAGTGGTAACGTTAAAACTCTTGACAAAAATTCAATGGAAAACATAAATCAACCTTTTCTGATTTTTTTACCCTCAAATATCGCGAATTCTAGTAAATGATGAATTATAGGAATTTTTCACTGCGTTTCTCCTTTTATGTTGGATTTTTTAAATAGCGTCAGAAAATAATACTGAAACTAGAAATGTGTCATCATGCCACGGATGCCCCCGCATGCAGCCAAAATTTCAGATGGTGCATTAATTTTTTTTTTTTCATTTTAAGTTCAAAGCCCTTAAAACTTTTCAATGTTAACACAAACCATTTCCATACAACGTTCAAGGCACTTAAATTATTCAGTCTTAACCTAGAAAAAGCATATTGCATATTTGTAGCCAAAATAATGGCTAAAAGAATGAGTGCTGAAACTGAAAGTTCAAAATTTTTCCAACATTCAGGAAAGATAAGTTTGTCTAAAATCATTGAACCATGACCAAATTCAAACTTAAACTGCTTATTCCTAAGATGTATCTATATTATTTTCAAAGTGAAAGGGACATAACTCTGCCAAAAATCCATCAAACCATGACCAAATTCCAACTTGACCTGCCCATTCCTTTGACATATCCATATGTCAAATTAAAATTGAATATGTAACACTGTTAGGTAGATAATGAACAGAAACTGTAAATTTCATATTATTTTCAACGTGAAAGGGGCATAACTCTGCCAAAAATCATTGAACCATGACCAAATTTGAACTTGACCTGGGCATTCCAAAAACATATCCATATGTCAAATTTGAGTTGAATGTGTTGTACCATTGGGGAGATAATAAACGGAAACTGAAAATTTCATATTACTTTCAAAGTGAAAGGGGCATAACTCTGCCAAAAATCATTGAACCATGACCAAATTTGAACTTGACCTGCGCATTCCATTGACGCATCCATATGTCACGTTTGAGTTGAATGTGTTGTACCTTGAGGGAGATAATGAACGGAAACTGAAAATTTCATATTATTTTCAAAGTAAAAGGGGCATAACTCTGCCAAAAATCATCGAACCACAACCAAATTTGAACTTGACCTGCGCATTCCTTTGACGCATCAATATGTCACGTTTGAGTTGAATGTGTTGTACCTTGAGGGAGATAATGAACGGAAACTGAAAATTTAATATTATTTTCAAAGTGAAAGGGGCATAACTCTGCCAAAAATCATCGAACCATGACCAAATAAGAACTTGACCTGTATTTTCTCATGACATATCCATATGTCAAGTTTGAGTTGATTGTGTTGTACCGTTGGGGAGATAATGAACGGAAACTGAAAATTTCATATTATTTTCAAAGTAAAAGGGGCATAACTCTGCCAAAAATCATCGAACCATAACCAAATTCGAACTTGACCTGTATTTTCTCATAACATATCCATATGTCAAGTTTGAGTTGAATGTGTCCAACCGTTCTTGAGATAATGAACGGAAACTGAAATTTCATATTATTTTCAAAGTAAAAGGGGCATAACTCTGCCAAAAATCATCGAACCATGACCAAATTCGAACTTGACCTGTATTTTCTCATGACATATCCATATGTCAAATTTGAGTTGAATGTGCCCAACCGTTCTTAAGATAATGAACGGAAACTGATGATGACGGAATGACAGAATGACGGAAGGACGGAAGGACGGAAGGATGGAAGGACGGAAGGACGGAAGGACGGAAGGACGGAATGATGGAACAGGGTAACACTATATGCCCCGGCCATTACATGGCGGGGGCATAAAAATTCTCGTATACAGAACACACTCCAATAGAATATTTAAGAATGTAGGGATATTTTTTAATTAGCAGGTTTTAATTCTTACTTTTGTTGAGTTAAGTACAACGCATTTAATCAGTTTTCATTCCTCCAGTGCCTATGTGATGATCGATTGCGGTACGTGAAAGAAAAAATCGAATGGTTTCATTGTCACGAATCATTCGCACGTATCGTTTAACCAGCCTGCAATATCGCTCTTGAATATCAGAAATAATTGAAAGACGATGACCGTAATTGTCAAGCACTGCTTTCCATAGTTGTTATCCGGAACGTGGTTGGTAGTTTGTCACTCCGTTTTACGGCAGTAAGCCACATTGAATTAACCAGAGCTTAGTTCAGCCACCTCATTGTTCCTGGGCAGGCTGTCAAGCAGTTTTACTAGTATACTAGTTGCCTTCACTTTCGCGAGGAACTTATAACTTCAGAGCAGAGGTACAGAGCGAATGACCGTAGAAATGATTTCATGATCAAACACAACGAAAGTGACTTGCACCGTCCGGGAATCGAACCCGGGTAGCCCGATTTACAGTGCAACGCTCTGCTTACCCGGAACTCCGCTTTTTTATTATTATATACCTTCACGATACACTACCGTTCGTCCACCAGTTGTGTATGTTTTCGAAGTTTTAAAATTCTGTAAAGATTTGTTTGTATACCCTGATTAGCCGGGAAAACCTCAAAATATTGTTAATTCCGGAGGTTTACCTATTGGTTAACTAGAGGAATTGTGTGTATTTTCTGCTATGATGGACCCTGAAATAGGTCTAAAATAGGTCTACGGCAAAATTATTTGAATGTTCTGAAGTCCACCTGACATGCATGTAACTACTATCTCATTAAAGCAAGCCACTTGATCTAACGTCATTTTGAGAAATATAAAACATTAAAACTTATTAAGTTGTTATGAGGCTGTACAATGCCGTTTGGTTATCCATTCAAAGTACACGACTTTAAATTGCATAGATTCCTGACTGGTCTAATTATAAGATTAGTAGATTACAACAAGAATTGCACCTCAACATATTTGAACATGTCAATGTTTGTGGTTAAATATATTGTTATCTAAGCAGCCAGGGATCTGTCGACTATAATGATTAACACTGGAATGAAGCTAAATTATTTATTTAGAAAAGTAGACCGATTATCTCTGTAACATCTGCTCCAATGAAACAATGCCCATAATGTCCAATGTCATACTCAGTTTCCTTAAAGTATAATTTAACACAAACTTTAACAAAGGGTTTGATTTCAATGGCATTTAAATACTCTTTTCTGTAAGTACAGGTTTAGGAAAATACATACCAGTTACATGTCAATTCACTGACACTTTTCTTTCATAAATATCCGTTTTATGTAAAAGAAGGCTTTAAAGCTCATTAATACACAGATTAATGTCAACAGAATTCGACGAAATCTATTGGAGTATTGTGGCAGTTTACAGTTTCAAATGGCTGCTGGCTGACATTTCCAAACGACTATTATCACGTTTTCAAGCGTTTGCTGTAACGCAATAACGTACAAGCGGTTTTAATTGTATTTTATGTGAATCATGTTATTACAAATCGATGTGCATTCTTGCAATTGTCACATTAAAATCTAACAGATTAGCTCTGGATGTAAATAAATCCGGTAAAACAAAGAATACAAACAGGACAATGAACGCATGATTTTCAAACAGAACGTGTACATTATCTGCAAAAAAAGCCGACAATATTGCCTAGTGGGGCTAATTTCGAGTTTAGTGCTTTTTAGATTGATGTGCATTTGAGCAGGGTCTTTCTATTTGAGCCTGATATGAGATTGATCATAGAATTTCGACTGACGTCGGGCTCATTTACCGCATGACGAACACAGTTCTCCGTCCTATGTCCGTTGTCCAAAAAAGATTCGGATGAGCAATACCGCGACACTTTCAAGACATGGACCTTCAATACGCACATTTATAGTATCGAGTGTCCATAACTTAACAAAGTCACGATTTATTTTACTTTTAAGAGGCCCAATATCCAATACTATATAGCCATGCACTCGTTGGGGCTATACGAGTCTTTTCCTATACAAGTGTATGTCGGAGTCATAATTATGAATCTAATCAATTAGGTTTTCAAGTTTTTGTGCAGAAAATTTGTTGTATATAGAAATATATCCTCGCCGAAATACTGGAGGTAAAAGGTGTCTTATAGTGAGAGGACATTAGGAATATAATGTTAAGATAATCAAGGCCTGTATTTGAGGAGATAAACAAATAACATAAAAATTCAAGTAATTTCATTTCTAATTATTATTTTTTTCTTTTTATTTCACTTGGGCCACACTTAAATGCATATTTCAGTACTAAAACATATTACACCAATATACACATGCTAATGGTGCCAGAGGTTAAAACATTTTTTTTAATTTGTTTATTTAAATCTTTCATTTTTTCCCAATAATAACACTTTCATCTTTGTAATTCAAGGTGCATTTTTAAGAAGATACTATGATGACCCGAAGTTACAATAACAGATGTTTGCAATAAAAAGACCATTCAATTACATGAAAGACCATGTTTATCATTTTTTGTCAATTTGCGTTTTTTCCTGTAATTTACAAGCCTTGTCATTTAAAGAACGTTAAATGTTTTTCAAAAATGAAAACAAGATTGGCCTCATAACACTTCCAGATTTTTACCAAAAAAGTTCAGTTGAGAATATTTTACAAGAAAGCTGAAGGTATAAAAGACCAGTTCTTTTACTGACTGAACCTTTAGTTAGAGAAAGACTTGTATTGTTAATGCAACATGAATGTAGTTTTCACAATGGTCTCAGAGTTTACATTGCCAGTAACAAATGTTCATGATCTTTATATAAAATTACCATAAAAGGAAAACAATAAAATATCAAATAAAATCATTTATGATCAATGTATGGAAACAAATGATTAACAAAACAAAAGTTGTATATAAAACAGCTATGCTCCCAAACCCTAGAGACAGCTTTCATATATCAGTGGGTTGTAACTAGGACCAGACAAGACAGAGGGCAGTGTGCTGGACTATTCTCAGTACTTGATTACAATATCACCAAAACCAAGAAGATATTTGTGTGAAGTTTTACTGAATACCTTTGTTAGTTGATAAGAAATTAAGTTGTACTCACAACTTTATCTATATCAGTATATAGCCACTCTTTCCTTAGAATACGCCAGCTAAACATAACATCATATGAACTTAACGATTGCAATATAGGACTGTAAGATGACAAACAGGTGAACATCATGGCTCAAGTATATGTCAACTATTCACAATGTCAGGTGTTTAGCAGATAAAGTTTGGGCTATTCAACCATCCAGCATGAGCTAAGGAATATTATTCTATATTCTATACCTGGCAACATGAGGAGGTGAAAGCCTAACAAAATATTTAATAAATATTGTCAAGGCATAAAACTAACAGCACATATAAATATAATTATTTCTCAATCATCTTGAAAAACAAGACTATGCAAGTTCATTAGAATGAGTCTAAAAGTAAACAAGAGTTATAAGTGGAACAATGAACTCCACTATTCTGACTAGTGTAACAACTTTTGAATGGATAATAAGTTTACAAAAGGGTACAAGTCAGTAAAAATCCAACTTCAAATAATAGTCCAAAGACGTGTGAATAATTTCGTTGATTATCCAGATGTTACACATATAAACTATTATGTCAACACAAACACAAATGTATGAGCAGAACAGCACTTCTATTTTTCCAACAAGTCTGCCTTAACAGTTCACTTAATACCATCAGTTTGTGAATTGTGAACTTTTTATTATTCATTTTACCTTAAATGTAAGAATTTAGAACTGACAACTGAAACTCATATCTGTCAAAACTTATAACTCTCGCGTCTATAAACTTTCATATCTTATTCTATCAAGCTGCCAACATAGTTACTGTGTTTTTAAAGTAAGAAAAAATTGGTTAAAAAAAATCATAAAACAACATATTTCTATGAATAAAATATTTCATCTTTGACATGGAATAAAAAACCAATATAATGAACATTTGATCTGTTTTGTTTATTTAGAGACTACCTGTTTGTTTGTACAGACTAGCTCTTGTATGCCACAGTATGTCAATATGACATATATGTTAACACAGAATTTAAAACACGATTTCTTGAACTGTTTCAACCAAGAAAATAAAGTACCTTAGGATCAGTAGAATAAACGGTCATCAATTTATTATTTATTTCTATTTAACAATTTATAAATTATATACCTTATTTTGGTCTAAAATGCCATCTTTTTTACATAGCAAAAACTTACCAATTCATACTAAGTGCTAATGTGAGCTTAAAAGTCATGAGCGGCTATGTATACAGTTCTTACAAAATTAAACCTGTAAGTCAACAAGGGCAATGTAGAACACTTGTAAGTCTGTTTTATTATCAGAAAAGCTACGCTGACACTTTTTGTTTCTCATTCAGGTGATCAAACAACTTCATGTACAACATAACTGTCAAGTTCTATACTTAGCCTGTCTCCCTTTCAATACTCGTAAACACTCCTTGTTTATCATATGTTTATCATACGTTTGTGAGAGCAACATCTACATTCACATTATTCGTATTGCCATTTGTATGGTTATAACTTCAACATGTTTTAGCATATGAATATGTTGAAGTGTATTGTCACTGTAGTCTGCAGATAAATAAGACAGTTTCCTCCCCTCGACAGCTCAAACTTACGTTTAGCACTTTGGTCATTTGCAACTACAGGTTGACCTGTTTTAACCTTGTAGGCATCATGATAAATCTCTCACAAAAACAACAAGCACTCTACCCCACATCAACAAACATTTGCAAAGCATGTACATATTTAACAGAAAAAGAAATTCTCTCGTAAAAAATGAACTAGATCCAGTGTCACGTATTTAACATCTCATCTTGGATTTGTCTCCAAAGAGTCAATTTCTCCAACAATACGATCTGGTGCAGCGTGCACTGTAAACCCTAGAATACTGGCATCCACTTTCAACATTTTATTCTTTTTCTTCTTATTTGCCTTGCTTTTCTGACCTTCTTCATTGAAAGACTGGGTAGGTTGACGTAACTCTCTAGGAGTTATAGCAGGAGCTGGTCCCCAAATACTATCCTGTAATTGAAAATATCATAATATTAAAACAAGTAATGTTAAATGGTAAATATTAAATAATCTGAATATTTTTCAGTTAACATTTTATTTTATTTCTTAAAAAGATATGACTAAGGATCACGAAACAACATGAGCATAGATTTTGCAACATTTACAAATTTAAACCATTTAGCACACATGATTGTATGCAGACATGACAAAATTAACCATATAACAAGAGGACTATAGAGACCTTTGATCGCTCACCTGAGATACATTGTAGAAAAGGTCAGAATTCTCCAATGCAGAGGTTAATTATTAGATTACATTTGGTTTGTCATTTTTTACCCAAGCTTCATTATTTAAGATGCATGCTACAAAATACTACAAGCAAAATATCCAAACTTATGGCATTGTAATTTCACACATGAAGACTTACATGTGTTTTAATATGTATGTCTTTTAAAAATCAGTGTTCCAAAGGGTGGCCTATCTTTTTAAACCTAGGGCATAACTTTTAAGGACCCCAAGGCAATGCTACATGCCATATATATAAGTGCAAGACAAAAGAAGACAAATGTACATTTTTCTATGTAAGTCTTTTATAAAGAAAGTGACCCATAGGTGTAGGGGCTTGATTTATATAAATTTTGTAGAGGACTGCAAAATATGTAAGCTACAGGCATTGTACTTTCTGAGAAGAATTTTGGCTTCTGTTAGGTAAATTCAAAATTCACAATGTAGTTTAGCAGATGTTGTTTACAGAAATTGGAATAAACACTGAATGACAGACACTTGCCATAACAAAAGCTTACTTCTGAATATTTCCAACTATTTCTAACATAACATAAAGAATTATATAAATATAAAAATTTTACCTCTTGGACAACAGGTTTTGACTTGCTCCTAAACTGGCTCCTCTTTTCAAGAAATGCCTTCGCAAAATCTTCTGTTATTCTGTTCTCCCCAAGGTAGGACCGAACATAATCATGCACCTAGTTATATAAAACATCTTTCATTTCTCACATTTATTTTCTTTACATCATTTTCATTATATTACATTACATTATATTATACTGCAGACTAAGCTATTTTGGCAAATGATAAAGTTGTCATACCAAGATTATAAATGTACTTTATCATGTTTAACTAATAAAAGAAAACAAATTCTTCGATGGAGACTTCCCAATTTACATGATTATTATCACAAATCTTTTATCATAACAAGTCATTAAACAGATACATCAAATGCTGATCTGTAACTTAATTCTAACGAATAGAAAAATTAATATCAGATTAACTGATTGACTGTTTTATCACTAATCCACTGATACAACAAATTAATCTCTTATGCTATTAGTACAATGTAAAACTTCTCATCATAAACATGTCAACAGGCACAATAATACACTCATTAAAAGCCAGGAGTAACTTAAGTTGCCCCAAAATCAATGCAAAGTATATCTTATATAACAAGAAGTAAAAGTTTACGATATATGAGTTTATTTAACTAACAAAAACCATCCTACCTCATACGGGGATTCTACTTCTTGTAGGAAAGCAACAAATGTTGGAACTGAAAGAATAAATAAACAATATACTTAAAATAGCTATCAAAACAAAACATATATTTCTATCAATGGAGAAATCATTTACAGGTTCAGTCAAGACCGCCTGAGCAACCCCCCAGAATTTCACGACTCTACCTAATTTGGCCTTGTTTCAGTCGGCCCAATGTATCTCATTATATAAATGCACACTGCCATATGTGACAAGCAACCCTTATTGTCTGGTCCTAATGCCTAATGCACTGCTTTATATGATAATCAGATAAAATTAAACTTGTTCCCTTTATTGTCTAAAACTTTCAACAACTCTGTCTGCCTCAACTACACAGTTGGCATGTTTGCAGGTATCCAAGTGATGTAGTGTTTACTCCTTACTGCCATAATATGGTATCCATGATGCAATTAAATCATGTTAATCTCAATGACATGGAGGATATTAAATTATCACTACAGAGAAAAACTTACTATCAACAGATGTAGCCATGTTCTTTAACTGTTTTTTACACCACAATGTGAAATCATCTTCCTGGGGGAACGTTTGGAACAGCCTTTGTACAGCTTCCTGTCATTATAAAACATTTACTATCATCATTACAAGTGTTTGGTGCTTTTACATTTACTATGCTAAATATGTTAAATGTACTTGTCCATCTTTAAATCAACACAAAACCATTCATCGTTTTTATGAGAAATTCCCAAACCACTTTTTATGAAAAATTTCAAAATCATTTTTAGGAATTTTTTTTAAAATAAGGGCCGACTCAGATCTAGGTATGAACTAGTCACATTTGTAGGTGACCCCTAGCAAACTGAGGGTTAAATGTAACATTATCATAAGCAATGTATGTTAACTTATAAGAGGAAATATTAAGCAAATTTAAAACATTTCAGATTTTAAAAAGTGATCAATGCAGCCTTAGATTTATACAAGAGGATCATTATGAAGATATGTTTATAAACTGTTAAAATATGTTTGTATGCTCTGTCTCATGCTAGAATTAACTTTTTCATAATTGAAGATATTTTGCCATGAAAATGTATTGTAAGTGCCTTTATGCTAGCTTAAATCCCCTAATTTGTTCACTAAATGTTCTTTATAAATATCATGATATAACAAGACATACAACTCTGATATTGTATTAAAATACGTGTATCTGTTCACAAACCTCCTCTTTCTTTGATTTTGATGGTTTATTTTTACTCTGGGATGCTGATGTTCCTTTTGCTTTCTGAGACTTTTCTCCTCCTAATGCTGGAAACTCTGCTGTCTGCTGTTTACTGAAATATCACATTCACTATATGGTAAACCAAAATACATGTTGTATATACATATAACTTATTTTGAATGATTTTAAAGTCACACTGACACTTTAAATATCACAAGGCAACTTCCCAGCTTTGCAGGTGAAGGGAGACCGAAAGTGTCCTTTATTTAAGGCACAAGCAGGCACCAAAGTAGAACCCCTAAGACTCTGTAATCTAAATGGATAGTGTTTATTTTTACATGACAGAATCCGAAGTGCCTAAAGTGGTTCAAACCCACAGCCATGAGGGGCTAGTGGTTCTAAATTAACAACCATAACCCCTTAGCCATGGACATCCTAACAATCAATATAACATTTTCAATATGATTATCTAATATCCTCTGGTAACAGTTCCAAATGTAATCCCCAATACCTTGGAGCAACAGTTTTGACACGAACACCCATGAATTTACTGTATACTATATGATTGTCCAATACTGTTCAATATAACACAAAATATAACTGTCTAAAAAATTTAAATATAACATTCTGTATAATTGTCTATCATTAATACAATATACTAAATGATTATGTCATCACATTTCATAATAATGTTGTATGGTCTTTAACTGATGACACAGACTTTCATTGCTTCTGATGACACAGACTTGCATTGCTTATTTCCTCTTTGTAAATAATTTAACAACCTTTATCTAAAATAGGTTTGATGACTCCTCTAGAATACATAAGGAAGTGAAGTAAGTATAAGGGCTTGTTGCTATTGTATGTTACTCACCCGGGTTTATTGGATTGTTTTTTCACTGGTCCTGATGATGAAATGATTGCATCATCCCAGAAACCTAGAGCTGCATTATTATTATTACTGTTGTTACTATTCATGTTAACATTAAGTTGTTGAGCAGTTTTTATAGCTCCCCAGGCTCCTTCATTTGCCCAGTTGGAAAGAGGTGGAGATGACCCCCATACACTTGCTGACCCCAACGTCAAATTCTGAAATTATAAGTGATTAAATATAGATTTGTTTATAATTGAATCCCACAACTTTACAAATTACATATCAATATGAAAAGAAACATTTGAAGAACTTCAATCTGAAATTTGTGACACAAAAATTATTTTTGAGTTATTTTAGATAATTTTGAAGGACCCCCCCTCCCCCCACACCCACAAAGCTACAGATTTTCTAACATCATGCTTTTCAGCATGTGTTTTATCCCATTCACTGGTATAAACCTTCCTATACACAAGATTCCATGTATGGCATCATTTCACACAGACAGTTTCCAATGCATAAAATTTTTGTCCCTAAAATGATTTTTTCCCCCACATGTTTAGATAGACATAACAAATGATTTAAAATGATAGGAAAGAAACTTCAAAAATAAATGAATTACAATGTACATGTAAAGCTAAGTGGTGTTCTTGGGTACCGTGGTACTTTATATTTAAAAAGGCAGGGGTATTTCACCTAAGATAACAGCATAATAAAATTTTTCTTTTTTTTCCAAAAAATCATACATCAACTTTCCAGAATCAGCAAATTTAGCAATATTTTTTCCAAAAATTCAGAATGAAAAACACCTGACAGGTGGTGCTATTTATGCAAATAGGCATTTGACTGGATTACCCTGATATCGGCCGAGTAGACAGAACCCTGCAAAGAGTACTATATTATACATTTAAAGTAACTTTACCTTAGCTGCAATTTGATGATTTTCCTCACGTTTCGATCTTTCTCTCTCTAGCTGTCTGGCCTGTTCTTGTTGTATCTCTAGTAAAGACTTCGTTCCTGATGCAGCTGACCTGTACATAAACCAATACTCATTATATACACCATATCCTAAACTTTTCAAGTGTTCTTAATCTTGTCATTTGGGAAATACGAGAAATTTACTCTCTAAAGTATGTCTACCCCAGTCAAGGAGTGGAAAGCTCAATTATATAAATTACCCTGACCTTTAAACCCACTGACTCAGGAAACAATATAAAAGTAAAGAAAAAGTAATTGCATTTTATAGTCTAAGTTTCATGCTTACGCACGTTCACCGACTTTACAGCTATTACCCCTGGTCATCGGGCTACTGGTATCTATCTATCAATCTCCCTGGGGAGTCTTTTAACTCCGCTTAGTGCAGCCGACACTTTGGCGCAACTGATTTATACCACCCTCGCAGGTACCCATTTACACCTGGGTGAAGTGAAGCAATCGCAGGTAAATTTCTTGCTCAAGGAAATTAAATATGAATCTTGACGAATACATGTACATATCTAATAATTCTTTTATTGAGGCAAAAATGATACTACCATCATATGACCAACTGGGGTAAACACTCTATGCTTTAAAGCAGACATGACTAACAAGAACAATGGGGTTTTATCTATGAAAAAGAGAAATGAACATACGAAGACGATATCCATGACTTTTGTTGTTGTTGTTGTTGAATGGCCATCATTTGCTGCCTCTGAGCTTCCAGCTGTTTCCTCTGCATCTAAAAAATCATATGATTATCTCAATATGTTCAATATACATATAATGATTATCACAATGTGTTTAATATGAATATCTCAATATGCGTATAATGATTGTTCTCAATATGTGTGTAATGATGACCTCAATATGTGTATAACAATTATCTTAATATGTGTATAATGATATCTAAATATGTGTATAATGATATCTCAATATACATATAATGATTATCGAAATATGTTCAATATAATTATCTGAATATGTCTCACTATGTGTATAATGGTTATCTCAATTTGTGTATAATAACTCATCATTCTCAATGTGTGTAATGATTATCTTAATATATGTATAATGATTTTATCATTATGTGTGTAATACATTTCTCAATATGTGTATAATGATTATTTCAATATGTGTAAAATGAATTTTACTTTATTTTATTTATGTATCATCCTTTTCATAAGTGTGCTTTAGCTAACTGATTGACATTTAATCATTTAATAAAACCTACTGAAATTTGTTTTTCCATAGTAACACCAACACTGCTATGTTCACATGGATATTTTTCATCTTAACTGACTGCAAAAAAAGCAAGCACTCCAGTAGAACCATTGACATTCAGTAAGATAGCAGGATAGCTTCCTCATTTAATAAAAAAGTTCCTGCTTTGATTTTGAACCTACAGCATTGTAATGCTAGTGATTTGCAGTCAGTCAGCAAGTTGAACCATTCTGCCACAGACACCACATTAATCTTAACTTACCTCCTCTCTTTCTAATCTTTCATTTTCTTCTTGTTGTTGAATCTCGAGTAAAGATTTTCCACCTGTTGTGCCCGACACTGGTGACTGATTATTTGCCCACTGGGCATGTGAGGGTAACTGTAACCAATCATTGTACAATTACAATGGTTATGCAAAACTTCTATAAATGGAAAGGCCATGATAATCAGACACTTCCTTTATTATAATAAATGTTTATCAGAAGAGAATTTAATAAAACAAATCAGTTTTTTATTCTCAATGATCCAATTATTATTAACTATTATATAATAGAACAGTGCGTAAGCAATAATAACCATAACTCTTACATCACTTTTAATGTACACTTCCAAACTAAATCATCTATTAGCAATCAGCATTTATATAAAAACATTTTCTTGAAATATTGCAAGCATGTGTGAAGCAGTTCAGTCAGAGAGTTAAACAACACAATAAGGTACTGCATTTGTTGGAGAGATGTTCTACGGCATATTGTCCTGGACTGAGTTTCATAGAAAGTTCTAAGTGTATCCTAAGTCCTAGGACATTAAACCACATTTAGGATAAAACAACATTTAGGACTAATTTATGAGCTTTTCAATAAACATTTTTATCTTGAATCAAATACTAAGACTATCTCCAAAGAAAAAGTAAGAAATACAATGATAAACCCTTTTATTTGCAATGTGTAAATGCCTATCATTACTGCTATTCAGGAATTAAAAGATTCATAACATAGGAGTCATAAGTTAGGTCATTTTCTTTGAGATGCAAAACTGTCTCAGTTTTGGTCTTAAGACTGAGTTCAGACTAAGAACTTTCTATGAAACATAATCCTGTCCTTTTACATCCACAGACAATATGTTACAATATGATATGACAAGTTTATACCTGCATATTAGCTAGTTGTTCTTGCTGCAGTTTTCTCAGTGCTTCATTTTGTTGTTTCCTGAGAGCATCTTCTTGTTGTCTTCTCTCTAATTCTTGTTGTTTCTGTTTCTCCTCCTGTTCCTTCAATCTTTCTGCCTCCTGCTCCTTCAACTTGAAATTATCAAATAATGTATATCTATAATGATACTTCTTCTAAAATCAAATAAGACTGCAGATGTCTAAATGAAACATCTCTAAACTACCTGAGCTTTGAATAAGTTTCAAAATGAAAATCAAAAAACAAAATGCAAAACAGTCAGAGATAAAAGTCATATGAAAACTATAAAGAAGGGATAAAAATAACTCCACCCTCAAACTTTCAAACACAACTTTCATTAAATCCTCCAATGAATGTTTCAAAAAATCATTTTATTGCAGTCTTTGAAGACTGCAAACAGTAAATCTCTTTAAAATGTGTGCCATTATGAGTATTGAGCATTTTAATACTTGTTTTTCTTGCTGCCGTTGTATTTGTTTTTGTCTCTCCAGTTCTTGTTGTCTCCTCATTTCCTCTTCCATCAATCTTCTTCGTTCTTCCTCTTCTCTCTTTTTCTCTTCAATACGTCGTTGATGTTCCTCTTCAATTTTCCTTTTTTCTTCTTCAGCACGTAATCTTTCTTCCTCTATTTTCTACAAAACAACAGAACAATAATGCTTAACTTTGACACCTAGAGAATAAAATTATTTGTTTACTATCAAGCAAGCTTACCATAAAAAGAAAGCCTAAAAACTCATCATGAGATGCAAGCCTATGAGCTCACCATGAGGTGTAAACCTACCTCTAAAGCTCATCATGAGGTGTAAACCTACCTCTAAAGCTCATCATGAGGTGTAAGGCTACAACTAGATATAAACTTATAAGCTCACTATAAAGCCCACCATGAGAGGTAAGCCTACATCTACTAATTGTAAACATAAAAACGTGTAAGCCTTCAAGGACACTAGGTGATAAAAGCTTCCAAACCTACCATGAGATGCAAGTAAACAGACCCACCATGAGCACTTTAAGTTAAACATTTACCTTTAATTCTTCCTGTTTTCTTCTTTCTATTTCTATCCTTTCTCTTTCTATTTCTTCTTTCTGTCTTTGCACTTCTTCTTGTTGTTTCCTTAATACCTCCTTTTCTCTCTCTAACATTTCTTGGTATTTCCTTTCTACTTCCTGCTGTTCTTTCTCCTACAAGCCAAAGTAAACATGTGTGAACAATGAGCATAAGAACAACTTATATAACCAGCAACTTTTATCTGCAACATCAAATTTTTCATTCTCTTGTTATTTTTCTATAATGTAAATCAGGTTTGTATTAAAAAATTTTCATTGAAGGTCCAGATTAAATTTAAGGCTGTTATTGTTGGTTTTATCAACAATGAGTATTTTCTTAGTTTAGAGGCTGTAGAGACTAGATAACAAGAGTGCCACTTTGTCACTAAATATGCACATCACAAATGCTCAGTCGCATACTTCTGTATAAATTCTTATTTCTGCATGCTTAATACTTTGTCATTTTTCTTAAAATGTATTTTTGCAGACATCAACCTTGCATTGGCAGGTTTTATGCATTTAATAAAGCAAATGTTTTACGTCATATCTATTTGACAGGATTTTCTTTTTTAATTACCTGTTTCAAAGTTAACTGATAACGTCATATCTATTTGACAGTTTTTTCTTTTTTAATTTCCTGTTTCAAAGTTAACTTATAACTAATATAACTTTGCAAAAACGAATTTTAGGATTACCGTATCTGCCTTTCAGAAGTGTTGCCCTTTTTTGATAGTGAACATGTATATCAAGTTTGAAGTGAACAGTTTATAGTTTCTATGATAATAGACCTTAACAATAAGATTCACAAGTTATATTTATTCAGTAAAAAATATTTTGGATAAAAAAATTATTTTACCTTACTACATACCCAACCAAACCTAACATGGGGGTTGTGTGAGGAGAAACTAAGCCAACTTTAAAGCTGACCTTATATAACAATCCATCTATGTATGCAGAAGTTTTACTCCAAACAAACATTTTTCTCTAACCTCTAAGTTTCATGTGTGCAATACTATACATCTTATGACTGTGAACATTTGTGTCAAGTAATACAAAGATCCCTCCATACATGTAAAAAATATGCTTCAGACAAAATCTTAACATTTTATCATCTGTGGTGTCCTTGACTTTGCGTAAATTGACCTGGACTATACTGGTAACACTGAGCCAAATGATTGTGAACATTTTTCAAACAATCCCTCAATTTAAAACTACTCCATACACACATTTTCATATTTAAATCTGACCTTTGGCCTTTATGGCTGACCTTAACCTACAACTTTCAATGATGCTGAACTTTTGTGTCAAGTAACACTCAAATCCCTTCATACATGGTGAAAATATGCTCTAGACAAAACTGAATACTGTCATTATATGATACCATTATATGTCCTGTATTTGTTAAACAAGAAAAACTGGAGTATAAAAAACTGATAAATATGTAAACATTATATATACCTTTAATGTACTTTCTAATTCAGCAGCAGTGATGCCTCCTGTAGGCATAGTTGTTGTACCAGGATCTATGTCCCATATACTAGCTGTCACATTCTCTCCCTGAGATGTATTTGGAGTGGAAAATGAACGATTATATGATGGATGTGATGATGATGTGACAGGAATCTCAGATGACCTGAAAATAACAAAATAGTTTTACCTTTCTCAACACTTTCTTTTCAAATTGATTCTTTACCAATTTAAATTATCTTTTAGAACTTGAAAAATTAATATATATTGTAATTTTTCATTAATGAGTTTTATATATCAAAGTTAAAAGCAGTTATGTAAGATAAGTTGACAGTGAACTAGCCACACAGTTGGCTCATAAAAAATTCAAACATTTTCCAATTATAAACTACAGTCACTTGTGGAGAAAAGAAACTTTACAAGACCACTTTAAAAGATGACCATTTAAAGATGCAACATACTATGTCACATGATGATTCATTTATCCCTTTATGTGAGAAGTACTTGTTTAAAGTTTTCCATTTTAATCTTGCGTTATCCATCAGAAGAGTTATGTCATTTGTTTGACCATACACTTATCACAGAACACTCTTAGAATGGTAAAATATACTTAGTTTGATGAGTGTCAGATGATGAAGTAGGTTTTTTTAAAAGTATTTCAATATATGTTTTGCCTTTAAATCAATTAAACATAAACTTACAATTCCTCAAGAACTAAACACACTTTTAGTTCAGGTAGAGCAAAAACTGAAAAGATTTCACTAAGGTAAATCTAAAAAAAATTATTCTATTATTCTATACTTGTTGTAAATCAATACTACACCATAGAAGTTTCATTTGATTTGTTAGTTGGTTTTTATGTCACATCAACACAGCAGAGGTCAAATGGTAACTTTCCAGCTTTACTGGTGGATGAAGACCTCAGGTGCCTTTCAGTACATCATTTCAGGCACAATGGGCATCTAAGTAGAACCATCGACTTTTCTTAAGCTTGCTAGATAGCTTTCTCACATGAAATAAATTCAAAATCCCTGGTGGGTTTCCAACCTAAAGCAGTGGCGGTAAGTGGCTAAAGTCAATGACCTTGACCACTCGGCAAGGGACACCCTTTCTAAGACTCCATTTACCTAGGTGAAAGTTTTTGTTGTTGTGACTGTTGAACTGGAGGTATGGGAGTTCCTTGTTTCAATATCATCTGCATTGCAAGTTGTTGTTGTTGTATTGGTGGTAATGACTTAAAGTGTTCATTCTCCTGTAACTGACTCATCACCTGTTGCATCTGTTGTAACTGTAGATGTCTGAAATATAGTCAACATGTTTTTCACCTTGTAAAACATTTATTGTTCAAGTCTGACATATAGTCAAACCTCCTTATTTTTTTATTATTGGATTTTATGTTGCACCAAAACAGTATAGGTCATATGGTGTCTTTACAGCTTTACAGGTGAAGGAAAACCTCAGACCTTTGTTCTTTATTTCAGGCATGAACGGGCACCTGAGTAGAACCATCTATGTTCCATAAGCTTGCTAGGTAGCTTTCTCATATGAAAGAATCTCGAGACACCTGCAAGGCTTGAACCTTCAATGGTGAGAGGCAAGTGAACAACCCCAACCACTCGGCCATGGATGCCTCTCAAACCATAAAACTGTCTGAAATACAAACTAGTTAAACATAACTGTACAAGTCTGAAATATAGTCAAGGATTTAGGACCGCACCAACACTGTATAGGTAATATGGCCACTTTCCAGCTTTTATTGGTAGTGGAAGACCTCAGGTGTCTCTCTACTCTATATTTCAGACATGAATGGCACCTGAGTAGAACAATCAATGACCCATAAGCTAGCTGGTGAGGGGCAAATGGTTTGAAGTCAACTGCATTATCCACTTGGCACTAACATCGTAAAACGTATTTCAACAAATTTAATTGACCAATACACATTCTAAATTGTCAAACAACAACTGAATTGTAACACAGCCAGGAAATACCAATTAAGCATGTTTGAAGAAAGGGTTATTAGCTTATGTGATTAACATAAGAAATGTTACTATGTTACACTAACCTCATTAACATTTGTTGTTGTACAAGTTGTTGTTGAATTAATAACTGTTGTTGTAATGCTTGTTGCATGTGCTCCTGCTGCTGCTGCTGTTGTTGTTGTTGTTTAGATATATCAGGACTAGTACTATTCTATAAACACAAATTGATAAGGACTATGTTAGAAAATGTAATTTTACAGGTTTTTTTAAAATTTTATTTCAAATCAAATTACAATACTACGTAAAATTTACTAATAAGCAAATGCAAAGTATTAAAACAATTATTATATTCAGAAGTATCAAACTCTCATTATAGCTTCTGACCATGAAAAATGCTTTATTGAAGACAACAATTTATAGCAACTTTTATACAAATAATAACAGATATATATATATAAAAATAATTGTAACATGAACCATCTGTTCTGATCCCTTAAAGTAACAGTCAATGGTCATCAAGAGAGAGCAAACAGCACTATCTTCAGCATTTAGTTCAGTTTGACATCTGATCCATTACAAAAATATAAGCAATATCTGTAACGAACATTTATGTAAGTAGTAAGAAATATCTGACATTACCATAAGTGGTGCAGGAGAAGGACCTGGTAGAAAAGGTACTCGTCCCCATCTCTTTATAAGTTCACCTGTAAACAGTGAAACAAATTATGAACAATATGTATAGAAAAGATACTAGAGACACTTTACAATGATAATATCACAGGGGTAAATGATACCACAGGGGTAAACCAAAGATTTGTCAACACCAAACTGCCTTAATATAGCCGGGCAAAATATTTGAAACCATGTATACACCATGAAGTCTAGAATTTATGTAACACTTGATTATTCTACAATAAGCATTTATAATTAAACATGATGTGTAAATGTGTGTAAAATTTACCAAGTTGTGAAAATAGCTCATCACAGCCTCTGCGAACAGATAAGTTCATGGTAAAATATCCGGCACTGAACCACTCTGCCATTTCAGTTGATGAAAAAGGACCTGAAATTGTAATTAGAATTTCATTACATTTAATCTGGGCTTGATTATTTCAATTAAATAACATTTCTTTTTACACAATTACAAGTCAGAACACTGAAATAAGATTATATATACTGCACAAAATGTTTTTTGTAGAACGTTTTGAATGGGTAAAACACCTATATTCCAAGAGCTAATTATTTTTTTTTTAATTTTTGTTTTGTTTTTGCGTTGTAAACATAACAGAACACCTAGTAAACAAAACTCTAAAAGATAATTGAACACTTAGTAAACAAAACTCTAATAGATAAACTGAACACCTAGTAAACAAAACTCTAATAGATAAACTGAACATATAGTAAACAAAACTCTAATAGATAAACTGAACACCTAGTAAACAAAACTCTAAAAGATAACTGAACACCTAGTAAACAAAACTCTAATAGATAACTGAACACCTAGTAAACAAAACTCTAATAGATAACTGAACACTTAGTACACAAAACTCTAATAGATAACTGAACACCTAGTAAACAAAACTCTTAAAACCTAGTAAACAAAACTCTAATAGATAACTGAACACTTAGTAAACAAAAGTCTAATAGATAAACTGAACATCTAGTAAACAAACTCTAATAGACAAGAGGGCCATGATGGCCCTGAGTCGCTCACCAGAAACAACTTCAGTGTTGGAATGTCAATATTTCCTAATATTAAATTTAACCATAGAATATGTTTAAACAATAATTTGAAGAAATGCCATGACCTGGGGCATTTAAGCTTTAGCTTAAATGGGGCTAATCAAATTAATATGAGCAAACTTGATAGAAAAACTACTTAAGAATGCTACAAAGTTTGGTGATCATCTATCAATTATTTCAGTTGGAAATGATGTTTGAAGATTTTTTTCTATTTTTAGCTTTAGTGGCCCCTTTCAGACAAAGTTTGGTAATCATCCATCAATTAGTTCTGTAGAAATAGACATTTAAAGGTATTTCTATTTTTAGCTTTTGCAGCCCCTAAAAGGGGCCAATCAAATTAATATGAGCAAACTTGATAAAACACTACCTGAGAATGCTACAGACAAAGTTTGGTGATCATCCATCAATTAGTTCTGTAGAAATAGACATTTAAAAGTTTTTCTTTTTTTAGCTTATGGGGCCCCTAAAAGGGGCCAATCAAATTCATATGAGCAAACTTGATAAAAGACTACCCAAGAATGCTACAGACAATGTTTGGTGATCAGCCATCCATTAGTTCTGTAGAAGAAGATGTTTAAAGGTTTTTCTATTTTTAGCTCTGCTGACCCCTAAAAGGGGCCAATGGGAATGACATGAGCAAATTCAAGTGTGACTGTCACAAGGATGCTACTGACCAAATTTGAAGTAAATCTGCCCAGTTGTTTCTGAGAAGAAGACGAATGTTGACGCATGACGACGGACGACGGAGCATCCCCCTTTGATACTAATAGCTCACCCTGAGCCTTCGGCTCTGGTGAGCTAATAACTGAACACTTAGTAAACAAAAGTCTAATAGATAAACTGAACACCTAGTAAAAATACAACAGTTAATTAACAAGAGACCTGTTTGATTTGTTGTACTAATAACAATTTGAATTGTGTTCTGGAAAATTCAAAGAGGCTCACCAATCCTGAGAGTAAGCTTACAAAAACCTCCATTACCTTAAACACGGATTTATAACAAAATAATTTTATTTCACCTTGCAGGTCCCCTTGTGGGTCTCTGTAGTACCATTTACTGTAGTTTTCATGGTCTGGGGGTAGAGCACTTTGTTGAACAAATTTTGTTGTGGAAATTCCCCCTTCATCTTCATCATCCTATATACATTATAAACAAATTAATGTACAACTATTTTATTCATTTCATAACCATAAAATATATTCATGTTCAAGGCTTATGTTATCTTATAAGTAAAAGTTATATGTAAATTTCTACCTAAAACGAATGAAAATCCAAACAATTTGAATTTCATACACAAATTCATGTTTATAACTGATGCTACTAAATGACATAGTTAACAGATATATCATGGTGCATCATTTAAAAACAACTGTCAAAAGCAATGAAACAAGAGCTTTTAAGAGGACAAAACATTCCACTATTCTGAGTACTTGACAAAGATGGGATGATGTAGGAATGAACAGCGGGAGATTTCATTTGTAGTATATGACATAGTTATTAGCCTTGGATATAGACAACATTATTCTTTAAGTTGAACTAAACTTTTGATGAAGTCACGCATCCTATCTTCCTGAAAATACTGTGCTAAAAACATACGCTGTATAAAACAGACTTTTAGCCAGGGTCACCAACCAGGACTATCTATTACGTATATTCTGTATATGTGTATTGTCTGGTGGCCATATATTGCAAAAATAAAAGTAAAATATGACTCCCTAAAAGATATATTATATATATGTATATTCATGTTCTTAACAATGACTTCTATCAATTTTTTCATTTTATTAATAACATGTAATGTAAAACAAGAGCTGCCCATAACACAGTATGCCCAACTAATATAAAAACTTTCCTAGAAATGGGAATGTTAAAATAATACTAACAAGTATTTAAAGTTTCAAATCAGTACCTCAAAGGGTATAGGAAATAAGTGGTGTGGTACTAAAAACTTAACCAGGGGTTTGACGTTGACACTCAGATGAGTAGGATAGCTCTTTTTTTTAAGCAAATATCATAGTCAAGCTAAAAAATCCTCAGCCAGCATCATTTTTTATAAGAATATACTCTATCTTCAGCTCTCATGACCTTTTATAATAAGACAGCATTTGTGCATTTTACCTGAATCATTTAATTTTTATATAAGATCACAATTAAGGGTATTTTTCTGTTAAGGCTTTGTTTAAATATACCCAGTGGTTTTAAGAAATGGATGTGTTGAAAGAAATTATGGATAATGATTACAATGTGTGGTAAAAAACAATCAAAGCTTATCAGAAGAGCGTTACCATAACATTCTATGTTAGGTAAATTATTATTTTATAGAATGTCTTTGATATGAGAAATAGCCTTCGATCTGAAGGTAACACTGTTCTAAAAATAGATTTTACCTAATCACCACTACATCACCTGTACTGACTTTCGGACAAGGGATTAGGGAGTACACATTATACATGATGTTAATCAGCGTATATTTACTTTGTTTACATGCAATATTTTAAGAAATTTAATACAATTGTAGAAAGCAAACAAGTTGGAAATGGAATTTAGTGTGAAAGAAAAGGGACAACTATACACACTGTACTTTTTTAAAGTTAAATTTAAACATATGTCACAATCTGCTCTGGCCTCTATATACATCTTTACACCTTGTCAATAAAACAAAGTTTAAACAAGAGCTGTCGGTAGGACAGCAATGCTCGACTATTCTTAGTGCTTGATAGTAAAAAAAATGCTTGATACAGTTACCTCCTCCTGTTTACAGGTTGGGGTCATGATGGTGAACAAGTGCGCAAAGTTTCAAAGCCAATATGTCTATGGACTTTGAAAATATTTGAACTATTACAAAAACTTTAACGTAAATTCTAAGTCGAAAAAGGGGCATTATTCTGTCAAAATGCTTGATAGAGTTACCTCCTCCTGTCTACAGGTTGGGGTCATGATGGTGAACAAGTGTGCAAAGTTTCAAAGCCATATGTCTATGGACTTTGAAAATATTTGAACTATTACAAAAACTTTAACGTAAATTCTAAGTCGAAAAAGGGGCATTATTCTGTCAAAATGCTTGATAGAGTTACCTCCTCCTGTCTACAGGTTGGGGTCATGATGGTGAACAAGTGTGCAAAGTTTCAAAGCCATATGTCAATGAACTTTGAAAATATTTGAACTATTACAAAAACTTTAACGTAAATTCTAAGTCGAAAAAGGGGCATAATTCTGTCAAAATGCTTGATAGAGTTACCTCCTCCTGTCTACAGGTTGGGGTCATGATGGTGAACAAGTGTGCAAAGTTTCAAAGCCATATGTCAATGGACTTTGAAAATATTTGAACTATTACAAAAACTTTAACATAAGTGGTTACGCCGACGCCGACGCTCGGGTGACTGCAATAGCTCTACTTATTCTTATCGAATAGTCGAGCTAAAAATGCACCAGTAATTGTTTGCGATGATTTTAACAACAAATATTTTGTAATAAAAAACAAATGTATTTTATTGTCTATACGTAAACAGTGTATGTTAAATCACGGACCTCAATTGTCAATTCAGTTTAAATATACATGCAAGCATGCATGTACGTAGGCCTATACATTATTTCTGATAAAATAAATACTAGAATCGGCATTTTTTATAAGGTAAAATAGGAAAAATGCAGAGTTTTGCTTATTCTAAAATTATTAAAGAATTAAGATATTAATCATTAATCTAATACTGTTTGTACTTTGGTGGATAGATTCATGACTTCTCCAATCTACGTATATCTGGGATAGAAAGATACTCTTTCATTTTTAGACCCAATTTCTTAAAATCATACCATATCATATCACCATTTCTAATTTTGATAAACAGTGAAACAAAAACAAATTGCCAAGCGCCGGCATTTTTCTCAAATTGACATGCAGGGAAAGTATTGCCCCGAAAGTTATTTCTTTTTCACCATATCATCTTTATTTTCCTGATGGTTTTAAAACATCTCAGTCATGCTTTACGCAAGTTTAACTCCAGGAACATCATTTCCATTGAGAGAAATGTGAATAAAAGTATTCGTAACCATTATGTTGCATAATCTACATGTAGATTAACCAGATTTCTTGTCCGAAACTTATCGATATGTGGCTATTTTTAGAACAGGTCTCTTATCAGTGACGTATACGATGCTTATCTCAGATCGTTCCCTATTGCCTGAAATAATACCTTTTCAAAGCCATTAATGACACTATCCTGTCATTTACCAAGATTATGTTACAGACATTTTTTCTAGCTATTTGGGGAAAAAGCACCTAGCCCAGTTTGGGAAATTTTGCATCATAAAATAGCTTAATTGGGTAAAATAGTTGGTACCTTTTGAAACCTCTTTCAAGCCCTTTTGGCAAAGACTGGGAAAAAATAAGCATATTTGCCATAGGGAATGGGTCCGGTAATCTAACCCGTGGTGACAATGGGAAAAGGCATGCTGTTAACAATAAAGGATGATAAGGAAAGATAAAACACCTCGAGAACTGTGATCCCTGCTACCATATTTTCCACAGTCTCTTGTAACTGATCAAGAGCTTCAGCTTCTGACTTTAACTTTTCTCGTCTTTTAGTCGAAGATGTATTTACTGTTTCTTTACTATTGTCTTTAGGCACTTTCGTGTTAGCATGTTTTGTAGCAGTTGTCTCAGCATTTTGTTTGACAACTTTCTCCTCCATTTTACCACCTTTATTGGAGTTGCCATTTTTCTTTGCATCTGCAGTCTTAGATATAGTGTCTGTATGATCGGAGGGCTTTGCAGCTTTTGGCTGAGATTTATTAGTTTTTCTAGCTTGACCTGGAGAAGGTCGAGGGGATTCTGCTAGCTTCTCTTGTTGCATATTATCACTTAACACTTTTGAAGGATTGTTTTGAGCACTATTTTTCTTGGGAACAGAAATACTGTGTTTCTGGGGTGGCCCATTCACCTCATTTCTCTCAAAGTTTTCTTTTTCTTCCTTTTCAGATTTCTTTGTACGATTATCATTGATGTCCTTTGAATTTGTGGCCTTCTTTGTATCTTCTTCAATCTGAAGAAATGGATAACATTTAAATGATTAAAATTGTTTAAATAGTCATAAGAACTGATTAAATTCAATCAAGTCAATAGCATTTTTATCAGAAATTATTTTACATAATATTTACCCTCATCAGTGTTGCATTTTAAATATATTTCAGAGTATTTCCTATAAATTTTGTATTAAATATTTTTTTTTATTTTACATGAAAAAGATTATATTTAAAACAACAGTCTTGTTTTTATATCAAAACACAGGGTGGTAGACAGTGAAGTTTATTATTCTAAAACATATAATAGGAAATTTCAAAAGAAAAAACAACTTTAGCTAAAGACTAGGCCAGCCAGAGTGAGAAGAATAGTCCCACTATTCTTTGCATTGTTCTGAAGTAAAAATAAAAAGTTACCTTTTCCAATCTATTATTATCTTCAGGACTTGGCCCTTGGGGAGACTTATTTGGCCTTTCTTCATCAATATCCCAATCTTCCTCTTTTCTAATTATCTGAAACAAGAAATCATTTTAAAATTAAAGTTTGTCAACTTTATTATGAAAGTGTATTTTACAAGAGAAAACTGGTGGCCAGTGCCACTGACTGGGGTATATGGAACTACACTAGATATCCCAATTTTTCCAAAATAAAAGTGTTTATATACCTTTTTAGGAGAAACAAAAGCACCAGTGGCATCAAATGTTCCAACTTCATCAGGGTCACCATCCATACTCCACTCTGGTAAATCTTCTTCATCCCAATTCTCTCCACTTCGTTGTCTACCATAACGATTAAAACCACCTCTTTGTACTTGATGTGACCTACAATAATTAGTTATACATTTATAACATAAATTCTTTTTCTGCTAAAAATTCACTGTTATTCATGATATTTTCACAGCTTTACGCAATGAAATAATTCTTTGATTTCATTTCATCAACATTCATAAACTATCATTCTCATCATTTATTTTTTGCTACAACCTTATTTACTCCTTTCATACTTAAGAAGAATTTAAAACAATACATTTGACTTCTTCCAACAATTTACAATACGTCAAGGGATTTATTATATGAATTTATAAACACTAATAACCCTAAATGACATAATTTTAAAATGATTCAAATGTTTAGCAGAAAAAAAGAAATCTTATTTGCAATAAACCGATACTATCAAGATCCAAGCTGATATATCAATATCTACTAACCGGTCATATTCAAAACCTCGTTGATGTGTACCATCTCGCCAGCTGGTTCTCGTATTGTTCCATTTGGACCCGGCCCTCCTCCAGTCTCCATTATCATCATCTTCCTCACGATCACGCCAATTTTCACTACTTAATGAACGTTGATACACTTTGTTTGGCTGTGTTGGATCTGTATATCTATTTGAATATGACCTTTGATATGCTTTAACTTCCCTGAAATAGTATGAATTATGGTAATTTTACAATCAGTTAAAATACACCAAAACAACACATATTTTTTTTTAAATCTTTACTTGTTTCGACTGTTGTCTTCATCAGAATAACGTACAAACTATTTGACGTCACAACACATCTTTATATAAAAAGCTACTTATAATGAACACAAGGGAAATAATGATGTCTGTTTATTGCTAACATAAATTCATTTGATAATCCAGGTAAACAGAGAAAAATTGTACACTTTTGTAAGCTTCAAACACAATATGTCTGTAACCTAGTAAACATGAATCAAAACCGAAACTTGATTCTAATGAAAAAATATGACCTTTCATCACATTTCTGTTGAATCTAATTTCAGAATATTACTTTAATACTGTTTTAATATTTCTTCTCCATTGTTTATCTATAAACCATGTAAACTAATTATGGCAGCATATAGCATCAGTTTCACTGTGATCTGCATCAATGTGACTATTTGCTTACTGTATCTCTAATGAAATAAACAAAACATCAACATGCAAAACAAATATCATAAGGTAACAAATTTGTTAATGTCAATCAATAATTACTTACTTTACACACTAATTACATTATCCCATTAAATGATCACAACATATATGACAGAACATTTGATTATTAACATATCATCATTGACAACATCAATACAATGTAACACCATACCCTTCATCCCAAGAACCATCTGGTCTTTGACGTGGCCGACCAAAACCACCTTCCATTTCATCGTACGATACTCCTCGCTGCATATAACCTTCACCCCGCCCCCTTCCTGCAACATAACAATATTGTATTCTCAAAGATCCAATCAAGACAGTTCTAAGGAAGAAAAAAAATTAAGCTCAAAAAACTCCATGCTGTCTATTTAAACAGACAAATGATTCATTATTATATTCTGTTACTGATAATTTAATTCAAGGAAAATAACTCTACATACTTTTGAGCACTGGTAACAACTGGAACTTTAGGATCAAATATAAATTTTATTCTAATCATTACTTGCATTAAAGCAGTTTACTTTCATTTTAAAAGCCCACAACTACAAACTTTAGCCAAAAACCATTAAGAACAAACTTTAATTTCAATCATTTTTTTTTTAAATAAACTAGAGCACCCCTAATGGCAGGGCAATATTCATTCAAAAGTAAATTTGATTGAGCAATCAAAAATAATCTTTAAATTAGGGAAGAGATCCAACATGAAAGATGTTTTATCTTAATTATGATTATGGAGCATTTTTTACCCTAGGTGCGTGATTTTATGGCAGTCTACTAGGCAATGCTTGATATGTTAGATTTATTTTTTCTATAAAAGTCTATATAAATTAAGTGACCCCTGGAGCAGGGCCAAGAGGTATGATTGTAAAGGTCAATAAGGCAATGCTACATGCTTATTTATCTAAGCTCTTGACATTGTATTTTCATGCAATGAAACTTAAACAGGCAGATGACCAGGAGCACAACATTATGCACCAGAATTCTTTTTTTAGGCATATAAAAATCTATGATATAGATTACCTCTGCCCCTGCCTCTCTCTACTCCACCACCTCTCCCTCTCATTGAAGGTGCCCCTCTACCCATCATACGTAACACAGCTTGACTGTTCACTGACTGCGCCATTATTTGCTAAAAATACAGTACAGTTGAACTTGATCTGATTGAAAATACACTGACATTTTAAAACACAAATACAGGCAAAAAAATCATCAAAGACAAAAAGTAACCTACAAATTGTTAAAACAAGGTAGTATCATTATACAACTTGTGAAACAGTTTTGTTTATGAACAATATCATGTGAAGATAAACTAACCTGTTCTTCCTCTGATAAATTTTGGAAGGCTAATGGGTCTTGAGGTTTTTCTGACACTATGGCTGTATATTGTTTCAGTTCTTCAGGTATTCCTTCACTCCGTATATACAGAGCTAACATTTCTTCCCTACCATACCTGAAATCATTGAAACACTGACAAATATACATCTTGTTTACTGACTACCATCAGAAATCTAAAATCACAACTACTTAACATCTTGTTTACTGACCAACATCATAGAACTACAATTGCAATCACTTAACATCTTGTTTACTGACCACCATTATAGAACTACAATCACAACCACTTAACATCTTGTTTACTGACCACCATCATAGAACTACAATTGCAACCACTTAACATCTTGTTTACTGACCACCATCATAGAACTACAATTGCAACAACTTAACATCTTGTTTACTGACCACCATCATAGAACTACAATCACAACCACTTAACATCTTGTTTACTGACCACCATCATAGAACTACAATTGCAACCACTTAACATCTTGTTTACTGACCACCATCATAGAACTACAATCACAACCACTTAACATCTTGTTTACTGACCACCATCATAGAACTACAATTGCAACAACTTAACATCTTGTTTACTGACCACCATCATAGAACTACAATTGCAACCACTTAACATCTTGTTTACTGACCACCATCATAGAACTACAATTGCAACCACTTAACATCTTGTTTACTGACCACCAATCACAACCACTTAACATCTTGTTTACTGACCACCATCATAGAACTACAATCACAACCACATAACATCTTGTTTACTGACCACCATTATAGAACTACAATCACAACCACTTAACATCTTGTTTACTGACCACCATTATAGAACTACAATCACAACCACTTAACATCTTGTTTACTGACCAACATCATAGAACTACAATCTCAACCACTTAACATCTTGTTTACTGACCACCATCATAGAACTACAATCACAACCACTTAACATCTTGTTTACTGACCACCATCATAGAACTACAATCACAACCACTTAACATCTTGTTTACTGACCACCATCACAGAACTACAATCACAACCACTTAACATCTTGTTTACTGACCACCATCACAGAATTACAATCACAACCACTGAACATCTTGTTTACTGATCACCATCACAGAACTACAATCGCAACCACTGAACATCTTGTTTACTGATCACCATCACAGAACTACAATCACAACCACTGAACAATTTTTTATTAACTCCTATCATAGAAATTACTGATTAAACTAGAACTATCACTAAATGTGATTAATACCCCCGCAAGACTGCTTTGGAAATGAGGAAGTTACTAGTAACAGAATACCTTGCAAAAGAATTGAATAGAGTCATGGTTGTGGGCAATAAAAGATAGTTGTGGTTCTTGTATGTTGCATTTCCTTTCAATGTGGTTGACCATTGATAAAGTTTTATTGAATTACCCTTCTTCAGCACTGCACTTCCTCTCATTGTGCTTGACCATTGTATGAAGTTGCATTGAATTCTAAACATTAGTTTTTAAGTTATGCACTGGACAAAGAAAAGGAACAAAGGGCAATAACTCCACAAATACTGAAGATGTAGTTACGGTTATTGTACACTACACTTCCTCTCATTGCCCTTGACCATTGTATGAAGTTGTAATTCCAACTACTAGTTTTCAAGTTATGCTCTGGACAAGAAAAAAGTGAAAAGTAACAAAGGGCAATAACTCTGTAATTACTTTAGATAGAGTTATGGTTCTTGTGCACTGCACTTCCCCTTATTGTGCTTGACCATTGTATGAAGTTGTTTTGAATTCCAACCAGTAGTTTTCAAGTTATGCTCCTGACAAGGAAAAGTAACAAATGGCAATAACTCTCTATTTAATCAAGATAGAGTTATGGTTCTTGTGCACTGCACTTCCTCTCAATGTGCTTGATCATTGTATGAAGTTGTATTGAATTCCAATCATTAGTCTTCAAGATATGCTCCGGACAAGGAAAATGTCACGGACTGCTGGACCGACCGACCAACCTACCGACCACCGAGTGACTCTTATATACCCTCCCCCCTCAAACTTCTTTTCGGGGGTATAATGATTAACATTAAGGAATTAGTAATAAAATAAATTTATTATCTGACAACACATTCCTATTAAACATATCCAGTAAAGGTACAGTAACAAATACTTGTCTTGTAATTTTGGAGTATTTGACACGAGTGTGTTTGACAATTTTCTACCAGTAGAAAAATTCTAAGGACTAAATTTTTTGTGTGTCTAAAGAAACTGGTGCGAACTGGGTGATTTAAATTTCCATACAATTATCTTTATTTGTATTGAGTTTAAGCTATTTTTTTTCTAAGTTTTACTTTTATTATTACAAGCTTCAGGGAATTGGTATCAATATCTGGAATGAAAGTATGACCAAGTCATTTCTACCTTGACCTGAAAAAACAAGCTAACTTAAGTTTGAAAGCAATTGGTTTATAAATAAAACACTTCTGTGGTAAAATGTGGAAAGAACTATGTATATATAGCAAACAGTATCAATATACATGTACAAAAGGGCCATAATTTTGATAAAGTCATGTTATTTTTAAACTTAACAAAACAATTTTGAGAATCTTGTGGCATTTATTCTGTGTCTGTGAGTTAAGTTAACAGATCAATGTTAGAGTAAGAGGATTAACTTACAAACTAACTGTGATACCTACTGCTAGAACTATGATCAGAGGATCAACTTTATCCTCAACATTAATATCTTTCCTTATGCCAATAAAACTCATATACAAATATACCAAAACAATTCAAAAATCAGCTTATCAATTTCTGAGAACTTATAGGAGAAAAAGTCCCTGTATTTAAAACTAACAAATGCTGATAAAGATATAGTCTGCAAGTTTACAAACCCTCACAATAAGATAAATACACACATCTTATTCTAGATATTAATATTTCAAGATCAATATTTAGATATCTTAATACTGTTAATGCCTTTTGAAGCTAAATATAAAGAAAAAAGTGACATAGTTTTTTTTTGCTAAGTAATCATTCAGTTTTGACTTTAAGAGTCAGGTTTCCCAACTTTGTATGCCAAAGAAATTCTACAACTTAAGGTAAGCATCAGACGTTTCCAACAGGAAGTTTGAGTGAGAAATCCAATAAAATAAGCATTTTTTTAAATATTTGCTTTTACTTATATTCTATAAATTGTTAATGAAAAGTAATGTATTACCTGTAATCTGCCAGCTTGTATTTACCGAATCCTGGTGCGGGGGAAGGGGGCGGGGTACCAACACTGTTTCCCCCTGATAACTGTCTTAACCTAGAAATAATGTCAATATTTAACATAAATGATAAAACCACATAATATCAATCTACAATACCCCTTGAAATAGACAGCATTTATCATAATTATACCCTTACTTTCATTGGCCTTTTTTAAACTTGTCTTTAATATGTTTTTTATCTTCACTTGAAATTTTCTTGACATGGTGCGAGTTTACAAGTGAAATTATACATATGCAAAACATGACTTCCTGTCTGACAAATGTTATTAAGTGTAAATTTGAGTCGTGTAATGTGTTTAACATACAGGCTTTATAGGGTGAAATTTAAAGAGTGTTTTAATTTCAAAGAAAGAGATCAAACTACAAATGTTTAAATAAATCTTAATGTTTTAAAGCAATAAGTTTTTTTTGTGAACAACTGCACAAATTTCTTGAACATGTTGCTTAACAATGTAATTAATCAAGCTGCCATGTTGTCAACTGCACTGAAAAACTGATCATTTAATACTTATGTGTGTAAATATTTTATGTCTGAATCTACTGTAAGTGAACTTTAAGTAAAAAAGAATATTTTTCTTAGGACAGTCACTATTAAAAGTTAGCTAGCATATAAATCTATATTTAGTTTAGGTAATTTTAGACCTCACTTGATTTAGAACAAAAACTGTCAGAGGGCAGCGACGCTCGACTATTTGAAAAAGTTGACACAAGGGTGTTTCATTGAGTAAAATAATGCGAACCTATATGAATACATAAAATTGTCCGAAAAGGTACATTAAGGCTTGTTATTAAAATGTTTTATCAAGTAAATCACTGCTTGTTTATCATGAATGCATAAAATTGTCCCAAAAACGATACAAACCCTTCAGTAGTTATGGAGATACCAGCTTACAAGAAAAAACTTTACCATGAATTTCTAACCCTAACAAGAGCTGTCAGTAGGACAGCACGCTCGACTATTCTAAGTGCTTGATAGTAAAAGAGCCTTGATAATGTTAAATTTTTTAAGTTCACAAAAGGGCTATTTTTTTTTATAAATACATGTTATAGGCCTTAGAGAGAGTCTAATTATACAGTATTGGCTTAACTTTTCGGAAGGTAATGTCACAAGGGTGTTTTATTGAGTATAATAATACTAATTACCTATGAATACATAAATTTGACAGAAAAGGTACAAAGGCTTGTTATTGAGATGTTTTATCAAGTAAATCACTGCTTTATTATTATGAATGCATAAAATTGTCCCAAAAAAGGCACAAACCCTTCAGTAGTTATTTAGATAACAGCTTACAAGCAAAACTTTACCATGAATTTCTAAGTTGAAAAAGGGGAGAAAACTCAGCCTAAATGCAAGATAGAATTATGGATCTTTGTCAGTGACCTACAATTATGACCCTAAATGCATATGTGAAGTTTTAAATAAATCTCTTTAATACTTATTGAGATATGTAAAACTTGCATGTAAACATTAACCAAGAGACTAAGTAGAAAAGGGGATATGAATCAGCCTTAATGCAAGATAGAGTTATGGAACTTGGTCAGTGACATACAATTATGACCCTCCAATTATGACCCTAAGTGCATGTGTAAAGTTTCAAGTAAATATCTTTGAAGACCTTTAACCTTTAACCAAAATTTCTAAGTTTCAAAGGGGCAAATAATTCTGCAAATATTGCAGACAGAGTTATGCAATTTTGCAAACTGATGTACATTGTTACTATAAAAAAGTATTTTAAATTTCAATTGAATATCTCAAGCAATAATTGAGATATTTGACTTTACAAAAAAACTTTAACCAAAATTTCTAAGTTCCAAAGGGGCATAATTCTTTCAATATTGTAGGCAGAGTTATCCAACTTGTCAATCTGATGTACCTTGTTACTATAAATAAGTATTGTAAGTTTCAATTGAATATCTCAAGCAATAATTGAGATATCTGACTTTACAAAAAACTTTAACCAAAATTTCTAAGTTAAAAAGGGGCATAATTCTGTCATTATTGTAGGCAGAGTTATCCAACTTGTCAATCTGATGTACCTTGTTACTATAAATAAGTATTGTAAGTTTCAATTGAATATCTCAAGTAATAGTTGAGATATTTGACTTTACAAAAAACTTTAACCAACGCAGACGCCGACGCTGACACCGACGCCAGGGCAACTACAATAGCTCTCATATTCTTCGAATAGTCGAGCTAAAAAGGGGCATAATTATGCAAAAAAAAACAAATCACAGTTATGGGACTTATGCCAATCATGTAAGATAATCACAGAGAACAACTGTGTGAAGTTTCAAACAATTCCCTTCAGTAGTTATGGAGACATCAGCTTACATGCAAAAACTTAACCAACGATTTCTAAGCCGAAAAAGGGGCATAAATATGCAAAAAAAGGCAAATCAGAGTTATGGGAATTGTGCCAATCATGTTAGATAATCACAGAGAACAAGTGTGTGAAGTTTCAATCCATTCCCTTAAGCAGTTATGGAGATAATTGCTTACACACAAAAACTTAACCACAGGGACGCCGACAAATGGGTGACTGCGTATACTCGAGCTAAAAATGCTAAACCATAATTATAGTATGGAATAAGTTCAAATGCAAATTTACATGTTCTTACAGACTTTAGTCATTTATTTTACCAGTGAATATTAATCAGATGTCAAACATCATTCATGTCAGAAAAATTTGAAGCTGCAACAATAACAGTTAAACTTATTAAAATGCACTCACCATTCTGGACCAAACTTTAGAGTATCTGCCATCTTTACAACTGAAACAATAAACACATTATTATAATATTAAAGCTAACTAGGGAAAAACAGACACCGACTTGAATATCTCCTAAAACTCTGTAGAGAGTGGCAATTTTTATTGATATGTAGATTTGTATACTGTGACAGTGATTTTTTGCTTAATACAAGTGGTTAAGAATATAATGGACACATTCACAATTACAAACGGTCCTTCATAATCCTCAAAATAGGTCTGATGGACCTGTTCACAATCTGAAAGGAATTCACAACAAGAGGGCCATGATGGCCCTGAGGTCGCTCACCTGTATTTAGGCCCCCGGAGCGGGGCTAGTTTAAACCCCAGGGCTTTTATTTGAACAATTTTGGAAGACACTCATTAGAAGATGTTTCATGATGTTAAGTTTTTACTACACACATATACTGAAAAACAATGACCTCCCCCCCCCACCCCTATGGCAGGGCCAATTTTAACCCAAGGGCTTTTATTTGAACAAAAAGATGTTGCCTGCAATCTAACCTCTAGCTCATTGGGATTTTTAAAAGAAGATTTTTTAAGTTTTTTAAAAACTTAAAAAATCTTCTTTTAAAAATCCCAACATCTTTTTGTGGGTGTCTACCAAGTTAATACTATACACATATAGTTAAAAACAATGACACCTCTGGGGCGGGGCCAGTTTTAGCCCGAGGGCTGTTATTTGAACAAACTTTGTAGACACTTACTAGAAGATGTTTCATGCTTAATATCTAAACTCTAGCTATTTGGGTTTTTTCAAAGAAAATTTTAAGTTTTTGCCATACACATATAAGGAAAATCAATGACCCCCAGGACAGGGCCAATTTTGACCCCAGGGCTTTTATTTGAACAAACTTTGTAGACACTCACTAGAAGATGTTTCATGCTTAACATCTAAACTCTAGCTATCTGGGTTTTTTCAAAGAAGAATTTTTAAGTGTTTGCTATACACATATAAGGAAAATCAATGACCCCCGGGGCCGGGCCAATTTTGACCCCAGGACTTTTACTTGAACAAACTTTGTAGACACCCATTAGCACATGTTTAATGCTAAATATCTTAGCTCTAGCTCTTTGGGTTCTTTAAAAGAAGATTTTTTAAGTTTTTACTATATGCATATAGGGAAAATCAATGACCCCCTGGGGCGGGGCCAATTTTGACCCCAGGGCTTTTATTTGAACAAACTTGGTAGACACTTATTAGAAGATGTTTCATGCTAAATATCTTAGCTCTAGTTCAATGGGTTTTTTAAAAGAAGATTTTTTAAGTTTTTACTATATGCATATAGGGAAAATCAATGACCCCCTGGGGCGGGGCCAATTTTGACCCCAGGGCTTTTATTTGAACAAACTTGGTAGACACTTATTAGAAGATGTTTCATGCTAAATATCTTAGCTCTAGCTCTATGGGTTCTTTAAAAGAAGATTTTTTAAGTTTTTACTTTATGCATATAGGGAAAATCAATGACCCCCGGGGCGGGTCCAATTTTGACCCCAGGGCTTTTATTTGAACAAACTTTGTAGACATACATTAGAACATGTTTCATGCTAAATATCTTAGCTCTAGCTCTTTGGGTTCTTTAAAAGAAGATTTTTTAAGTTTTTACTTTATTCATATAGGGAAAATCAATGACCCCCTGGGGCGGGGCCAATTTTGACCCCAGGGCTTTTATTTGAACAAACTTGGTAGACACTTACTAGATGATGTTTCATGCTAAATATCTTAGCTCTAGCTCTTTGGGTTCTTTAAAAGAAGAATTTTTAAGTTTTTACTATATGTATAAAGGGAAAATCAATGACCCCCTGGGGCGGGATTAATTTTGACCCCAGGGCTTTTATTTGAACAAACTTGGTAGACACTTCCTAGAAGATGTTTCATGCCAAATATCTAAGCTCTAGCTCTTTGGGTTTTTTAAAAGAAGATATTTAAAGTTTTTTCTTTCGGTTGCCATGGCAACCAGAGTTCTGCATGGAATTAAATTCTTTAAACAATTTTTAAAGGTGACCACCAAAGGGACATTCCTGTGAAGTTTGGATGAAATTGGCTTAGTGGTTTATGAGGAGATGTCATTTGAAGCAAAAGTTTACGGCCGGACGCCGGACGAAAAGCGATCACAAAAGCTCACCCCGTCACTTTGTGACAGGTGAGCTAAAAAGTACATCAATTAAGCTTACAATTTCGTCTTTTTTTTCAGATTTTTTTTCTTATATTTATATAACAATCTCATTTTCCCATTGTGATGTTGTATTCTTTAAACTTTATGTTTATACTGCCTTTATTCAAACCAAAAGTTGAATTGCTTCCAATCTGATTTGCAGATTTTTTATTATAGGTTTATCAAGTAAATGCTCAAAATGATGTATACTTAATTTTTCTTAGAAATTGCATAGATCCTCAAGCAAGGTTCTAGCCAGTAATCAGCAAAAAAATTTTTAAGAACTTAGAATGTTGACATCTTATAGGAAATAGGAAGTCCATGTTAGTTATGATAAAAGTTTTATCAGTGTTGCAAAAAGGGATACTCTGTCTTTGAAATAACTCACTTGACCTAGGCCAGGGCATATAAATTACTTAGAGGCATGTTAAAATTATAACCATTCTCCCCCTAATCAGAGCGAGTTTTAAGTTTTATTGATTTTTTTCAATGTTGACATCTTCATTTTTCCCAATATTAAAAATTTCAAATCTCAATTTTATATTGCATTTAATCTTTATAAGTATGCTTAAAAGAAATAACAAGAGCACCGCTAGGTGGAGCATTATATGCCCGAAAGTACTTTATCTTTTAGTAAGGATGAAGCATTTGTAAGACATGGGAATTAAATACAGTATTACCTCCTTCAAAAAGCAATCCTCCTTTATAGCTGAAGAACATTAATGTATATATATACAGTTGCTGTTTTCAAAGCACCACCATCAAGATGTTACCGGTATCTTGTAAGTAAAAATGCTACAACGGATGGACGAAAAGACGTCAGGGGTATAAAGCTGTTAATCCTATAAAATTTTACAGCTGTAGGTTGATTAATACTTGAGTTATTAAGCGAAAACTGTTTCCAGTTTAAAGGTGATAGTAACCTTGATCTTTGACTTTGTGACCCCAAAATCAATAGGGGTCTTCTACCAAATATGGACAATCATCCTATGAAGTTTGAATACTGTGGGCCAAATGGAACTTAAGTTATGGTCCGAAAACCATTTTCAGTATTAAGCTATAGTGACCTTGACCTTTGACCTTGTGACCCCAAAATCAATAGGGGTCTTCTACCCAATATGGGCAATCATCCTATGAAGTTTGAATACTGTGGGCCAAATGGAACTTAAAAACCAAATTGCTAACAGACAGACAGACGGACGCCAGGGGGTATAACATAATATGCCCGAAATTCTTTCAGGCATATAAAAAGAAAAATCCCAGATACACAACTACACATGCTGACCAACAGGAAGTCTGATGTTCTTCCGGACACATTAAAAAGGATTTAAGGTTGGCAAATTCATGTGGATCATTTAAACACCTGTTTGTGAAATGTGCCAAAATCATACTCAATAGTGAATTAAATTTGTTGTCATTATTTATTTGCTTTTTCAAGACATTTTTTTTTTAATTCTACAAAAAATACTCTTGTTTCCTGTTAACCCTATCATTTAATAATATGATTTACTCATTGACAGTATATTTACTGTATATAGGGGTGCTACAATACAGCAAAAAAAGTATTGCAAATATTGCCATTTTGCCGAAGAGTATTGCAATATATTGCAATACGCATTGTCGTGTATATGTTTTGATGTAAAGATGGAGTAACATTATACATTATTATTTTATGTACAGTCTTCGAAATTAACGCCAGTCCGAGGCCCGAGGCCACTAAATTTAGCATCGGTCTGGTGATTATTGCAAGGTTGGTGGTCCGACGGACCAGTAGATTTTTTTGTCATGAAAAAATATTATAAGAAAATTTCATCAAAATAATGAAGCAGGGTTCCCTAAAAGATTGATCTTTTTGCCTTTTTTGCAAATGAAACCCATCAATTCTGTCATAATTGTTCAAAACACAGCGAGAGATTTCTAAATTGTATTGAGTAATGGAGGCCGCCATTTTTTTTTCCTGGATATTTTCCGTACCGCACCGTACAGTTACGGAAATTAAACCATTGTTTATTATGGTCATTATTTAGCTATGATTTTGTGGTTATTGAGTTAAGTAAATATTTTGTGTGAAAATGATTTGTTTAAAGCAAATTGCCTTGTTCATGTTCAATTCTAATCAATTTTGCCTAAACATTTGGTTCTTAAAGATTTTTCAAAGCTGTCAACATATGGCCCAGAATACAAGACATATTATGCTTCTTTCAAAATTATCAAGGGAAGCATGATAAAGTGTTTTCCTGTTTCCATCAATTTTTTTACCTATCTATGTATTTGGTCCGGCTAAAAATCACCAGGTCCAGTAAGATTTGATATTTTACTGGCCCGAATGTCCTGTGCTTTTTAAAGTTTTTCGTGAAGACTGTATGTATATATTCTTAGTAGAGACTTAATAAAAATGTAAGGAATAAATAGAAAGTAAAGTGTCACACAATTTAATAAACAAAACTAGTTGCATGTGACCTTTCACATCTGGGCTGCTTATGTAAATTATGCGGACGCTTATGACTTTTAAGTGTACTAGTTGTCAGATATTTTTATCTTACATTGGGGCCAATAAAATTCGCCAATTAAAGATTTTATGCGAAATTTGTACGAAATTAGAAAACAATTAATTGAAAATTATGATTTTTATAAAATACCGGTTTTCCAAAAATCGCACTGTGGTACGAATTTTTTTCCATATTGCAATATATCAGTATAACGGTAAAACATTACACCCTTATCATATATGAAATTGCTTCAGAACCAAAATTTAAAAGATATATCTACTGAATAGAGGTTTTGAAGGATGCTAATTGATGAATCATAATTGTACAGTAAAGACTTTAGAGATCATAGTATTGCAAGCAATCCATAAGTCCCCTACCGGTTAGAACCCCATCAACATTCTAAAGAGCCATTGGCCATTCACTAATGTTTCAATTTTTCTCTATTTTAAGTAAATTTGTTGGAAAAGTTCTTTAAAAGTGATCACAGAAAACAGTTTTTATGAACAGACAGACAGACTGACTGAAGGACACTCTAAAGTTAATATTTGAAACATCCCTGTTACCAGAATATAACATTTTTAAAAGCAAAATTCTTAAAGAGGAGATAACTCTTGAATTAAAGATGCAATTTCATAAAAATTTTCAGCTCTTTTTGACTAATCACAAATATTGTTATATTTGCCATGTTTTAAGCCTATTTGTTGCCAAGGCAACCAATATTTTTTCAAAATAGGAAGAACAGATAAGACATGCATAACCTCAAGACTGCCATCTACCCATATTACAAGTTTCATGAAAATATTTCTATTACTTTTTACGTTAACACTGGATCCAGTTTATGTGTAAAATTTGCCCTATTTTCAGTCTATTTGTTGACCATAGCAACCGGAATTTTCAACATAGGAAGAAAAGAAAGAGACATGCATAATCTACCCATATTTCAAGTTTCATAAAAATATTTCCAGTACTTTTTGCGTTATCACTGGATCCAGTTTATGTGTAAATAAAAATTTGCCATATTTTCAGCCTATTTGTTGCCATAGCAACCAGAATTTTTAACATAGGAAGAAAAGAAAAAGACGTGCATAATCTCCATACTGCCATCTATCCATATATCAAGTTTCATAAAAATATTTTCAGTACTTTTCAAGTTATAGCGGGATCCAGTTTTGTGGACGGACGGACTGACAGACGGACGGACAGAGGGTAAACCTAAAGTCCCCTCCGATAAACCGGTAGGGGACTAATAAATGTTAACTTTGTAGTGCAGTAGTGAAGCTAAGCTATTGTTATATCTGCCCAGACCAGTCCCGTCACAAAACATTTTTTGCAAAAATATAACACATTTCTTTATTTTACAATAAAAAAATCAGTTAAAATGATTACAACAATGTTAGAAATAGCTTAAAAATTTTACTTGATTTTGCATGAGTTTGTAGATATCTTTATTAAAAAAAAAAATTATTTTTTTTATTTCCTTCACTGAATTATAATAAGTGCCATAAGGTTGATTACTTGTTGGCATCCATGTGTGAAATTCCTTTACTAAGATAGTTCAATGTGTACATGTAAAATAGAGATATAACATAGTTGGTTTAATCAAATAAGCAATTATGATCACTATATTTTCATGGGCTACATATAATACATGTATCTAAATTGTCTGAGGGTAATCTTGGGTTGTCTTGGAGAAGCATGGATGAAAGTTGACAATTTTATAAATCCTGAAAATTTTGCTGGGTTGGGGCATGGGGGGAGGGAGGTCCAGGGCAGAGCCCTGGTGGGGGATGAGGGAGGCTTAGCCCCTGAAATCTCCTTGAAACAAGCAATTTGAGATAATCAAAGTATGCTTTTTCAGCACAAACTCAATCTATAAATGAAAAAAAATGCATTTGATTAGAAGAATAAATCCTATTCTATGACTATTATGTACCCAGGAATTTAAGGTTTCATTAGCCAAATACCCCATTATTCCCTCTCTGAATCAATTTCATTCAACCAACTTTAATTATTTGCTCCTTTGCTTTATTTCTCTAGGCCTTTCATATGATAGTCTGTGGGCAGAAACTTCATGATGAAAATATATAATTTGTTTTTTTCAAATTTGTTTCATTTATTATGGAACTACAATATCTGTTGGTTACTTGTTTTCTATAATCTGATGCCACAATCACAATCTGATCAATCAGAAGTGTTGATTCATACCACAGTGTGTGATGCACAAAAATGCTTTTCGAACATTCATCACAAAATGACTTTTTGAAACAAAACAGAAAATAATCATCACCTGTTAAAATGAACAAATGGGCAGTAGAGTTGTTTCAGGTCTCACTTGAGGGAAGAGTCAACCTATACCCCTGAAATGTCAATGCATTTACGTGATTGCTGAAAACTGGCTTAAATCTGGAACTTCCAGACTATTCATCCATTGAGTAGTCTTGGAGTAATTAGACTGACTGCTGTTTGATCCCTCTACATGAATTTGCCACTCTTTAATTTTTGTTAGTGTGACTAAAATAACACCAAAGACGTTGCCGATTTTGTGCACACCATTTATGCCAATTGCAGGGTAGCTGTGATGTTGCAGAGCTACCTACTGCCAAATATGGAAAGACTGTGTGTAAACTATTTTCCTTGCTTGTGACATGTACATGTTCGGATAAACATTAACGAGTTAATGACTTATAAAATTATAGAAACTTGGAGATGTATATAGAAAGGTTTTCCTATTTCATGTTTTATTCAAATTATAAATAAAATTTTGTGACTGGCTGTATGGGCCCGTATTGCACAGACTGGTTAAAATTTAAAGTTATCCCGGCTTCATGCAAGTTGGTTATTTTTGAAAACTTCTGTTTTGACTATCAGACTGAAACATGGAAATATCAACTACAGATTTCTTTTTTAAGATATCATATGTCATCCTGACCAGTGTCAGTGACTCAGGTTGATTTGGTATCAATTTCAAATGTCTGTAAACTAAAGTAATACACACTTAATTTAGAGTTTATAGACATTAATGTTACTTAAAATCAAGTATAAACATGAGTTTTGTAGAAAATAAGAGCTAGAGTCGAGTGGTGTTAACGAGTTTTAGAACTTGTAAGTTAGAAATCCAACATATTTTAGACATTAAATTTGACGCAAAAAAAGGTCTCAAAGGTAAAAAACATATGGCTTTCAATAAAATTGAGGTTACTTTACGGGCTAGCATACAATCATGTGGAAAACGTATACCTGAAGCGCCTGTCTTTTAATTTGGATAAAATAATACAACTTCTTGCATACGAAGCTGAAAACCAATATGGCCGTAAATTGTGTGTATCACGTGACTTGAAATGGGAACTTGTCATGCGCCGGAAGCAGCCCGCAAAACAATTTAAATAACTTAATTTAGAATGGAATAACTTGTTAAATACTTACGAGATATGTAAAAAATAAACAGCATTTCAAATGGGGTGATCCGGATTATTTATTGGACTGAAATATATATATATTTTTTTTTTATTAACTTGATCATAATTCGGTGAATAAATTTCGGATATGCCATAATATGCTCAGTTGGTAGGCAAAAATGAGTAAAATATAAGTAGATTGAATAGGAGGGAGAGTAAAACGAACCCTCAGAAATTTCATCCTAAATAAAAGAAAAAAGAAAGGAATTAAAATGTAAAATGTATGCACCTATTGATTAAGAGTTAAATTGAAGACTAAAATTTTGTCTGTGATTTCTATGTTAGAATAATTTTGCTGTTGCTTTAGGATAGTGTTAGTCCAACTAATTGTTCTACACAATGAGATATTGTGCTATTTTGTATATGTTTGGGAAGCGATATTCTGAACCAGAACAAACATATCTCAGAATCTAGCTTTGGCATGTCAATATATTTTGACTAGCGATAGTGTATGATTGTTTGGGAAGGACAATTTAAATTATTGACTGTGACTAGCTATTACAAGGCACTTTGTGGACAAATTCACAACAATATGACAATGATATGCCCTCTTATGGTAAGAAATGTTCCTTGTGCTTCACAAAAATGTACACCTTATGCCATATTACAAAAGCTTAGTAATTATACTTGCATATAATTGAACAATTATTATGGCTGCATTAGTCTCAATATTTCGACGGCAAGACAGACCGATTTTATAATCTGATATTTCATAGATGTCTGTCTTTGTGGATTGTGTAAGAAAAGAAATAGATATTAAACAGCAAACTCCTTGATAAACGAGGTTGATACACTTTTTGAAATATATAGTTATTCATCAAGTTTCAACAGTGGTTCAATGAAATCTTCGTATCAATAATAATAATAATATAATAATAATAATATAATAATAATAATTTTAATTAAAATAATAATGATAAAAGGAAAACGTGTATCTTTCCCGGAGATCTTTTATTTTTAGGGTTGTTTTGTTGTTGTTGTTCTTCTTTTTGTCTTTTTATCTAGTAGCCCCATTCATTATGTTGGTACTTTTTACGAAATGACATAACTAACAAACTTTCTAAGAAATATGTATATATTCTCGTCAGTTTTAATATAATAAACATATAGATAGCAATTGCAAAATGACAGTATCAACGCCCATGACGTGTGTATTTATCTATACTAAACGTTTGAGTTATTGCCTGGATACCCTAGCTATTTTATTCACTAAAGGACTAAATAAAACATTTGCAGACGAAACAAACACAAAACCCGTTTCCATGTGTACAACGGAATCCCCGCAGTACACACTGCAAGCTAGTGAGATTTATCGATACACTACCGTTAGGTAGAGTTTTAGCGGTGTAAAACAAAAAACCTTGACATGAGTAGGAATTTGTAACAGTTGTGCATTAAAAACATATAACTTTCTGATCAATTTTCTTTTAATTGATTCTATTTTGAATAAGCTTTGCAGGTATGTAATTTTTTTCAAGAAATGTTGAGTTTAAATATATATTTGAAGCCGTCAAAGTTAGCGACGAGATACTGGTCGCTGGCACATACACAAAGAAGGAAAACTTTCTGCATTGCTTTGAATCGTAAGTGGGTTGTGCGCGAAGGGCGACCACCGAATATACAAAAAAAGCCCTAAAGCGCACAATTTGTTGGGCTATGGCTGCATATACTGTATTGAACGGTTAAATATATGTTTTTTTTTTTAATTTCAGGAATTTCAGTAACTTTTAAAATCATGTCATGACATTGTTAAGCTCAATAACTTTTGAGCATTTCTAGAGTAATTTCCCTAATCAGAATTTAGTGAACAGGTAAATCATTTTTTGGTAGGTTGGACATTTTTCAGTCTTTTAATTTGAATACAGTTAAACTTAACTAATAAATTAAAACAAATGGGCTGGACTATCAAGGTTGTTATTTTTCTGCAATTATGTAGATTGCATTGATTTCATTTTACTACATATATAAACTATGAATTAACTCACTAAAGTGTGGAGCAGTACCTCTAGACCTTGACAGAAATCATTATCACAAGTAGAAAATGTACATTTTTTTAATTTTACCTTTTTTATGCTATCACAGTATCTGCAAAGCGATTTTTATTTGCCCATATGTATTTGTGTGTGTGTGTATATAACTATGTATGTATAATTATACAAGTCGGATTTCAACCAAACTTGCCAGGATTGTTTATTGGTTGAAGGGCTTCCTGGAAAATGTTCAAATAATTTGATTTCATGAAGAAATCTTGTTGCCATGGCAACCAAAAGTAATTGTAAGAAAAAATCTAAAAGGCTTATATAGAGCAAAGATATTTTGCATAAGGCATTGCCTGGTGGACCTCTACCAAGATTGTTTAAATTACGGCCCTTAGGTCAAAATTGCCCCATCCCCACCTCTCCCCCGGAACATAGATTTTCCTTATTATGTATGTAGTAAAAATTTCAATAATCTTTTTCTTCAAAATTACATGTGCTAGAGCTCAGATATTTAACATGAACCATTGTCTAGTGACATTATTTACAATATAGCTTTGGGGTCAAAATTGGTCCAGCCCCAGGGGTAATTATATGTTTCCTTATATGTATATTTATATATAAAATCTTCTTGTATAATACTATAGAGGCTTTAGCTTAGATATTTGGTATGAAACATTTTCTGGTGGACCTCTACAAAATTTGTTCAAATTATAGCCCTTAGGTGAAATTAGCCGCACACCAATGGAACATAGATTTTTCTTGAATTTATATTAAGTAAAAACCTTAAACAATTTCTCCTCTAAAACTATAGAAGCTAAAGCTTAGTTTTTTGTCATGTAACATTAACTTGTAGACCTCTGCTAAGTTTTATTAAAATTATAGCCCTTGCGTCAAAATTTGTACCGCCCCAGGAGGTCATGACTTTTCCTTATATACAATGTAGTATAAATACTATACAAAATCTCCTTCTTGAACTGCAAGGGCTATATCTTATGATATTTAACATGAAACATAGTCTTGTGGACCGCAACAAAAATTATTCAATTTATAGCCCCTGAGTCAAAATTGGCCCCAGCCTGGGGAAACATAGATTTTCCTTAAATGAGACTTATATAGCAAAGTTCTAGTTAATTTTCATAATTTAACCATTGACTCCCATAGCAACCATTGACTTTTCATAGCAACCATACATGTCCATAGCAACCAATAACTTTCCATAGAAACCACTGACTTCCATAGCAGTCAGTGACTTTCCATAGCAACCATTGACTTCCCTAGCAACCACTAACAGTCACTTCCCATAGCAACTACAAATAGCAAACATTGGCATCATATGGTAATAAAAAACCTCTTTAGCAACCAGTGACTTTCCATAGCAACCATTGACTTCCATAGCAACCACTTTCTTCACCTATCTACCAGTGACTTCCATAGCAACAATTGACTTTCCATCGCACTCAGTGACTTTCCATAGGAACCATTGACTTACATAGCAACCAGTGACTTTCCAAAGCAACCATAGACTTCCATAGTAACAAGTGACTTCCAATCCTGTGACTCACATAGCAACCATTGACTTTATGTTTTCAAAAATAGGTAATGCTTAATTGAAAAGATACTAGTATCTAAGAACAAATATTTGTAACTTTATTTCAAAGATTAATACAGCTATGTAATACAGTAAATTGCAAAATGTTATCACGTAAGAATACCTTTAAGGCCATCCTTAAAAAAATGTTTGTTTGCAGTAACCCGACCCAGAATTTTCAAGGTGGGTAGGTTGGTCGATATTTTTTTTTTTTTTTTTTTTTTTTTTATTGAACTGTACTCCCAAATAAACATGGAATTTCAAAATGCTGGACAATAAAAGCTTTGATAATCTGGTAACAATTAATAAATTGATAACTGAATTCTAATTTATTAAGAACTACATTTTATTTCTTCTATTTACCTTTAAAAGAACGAAAACAAAGCACAGGCATAATTTTCTGATTCAAAAAAAATAATTTTGTTTATCCAGACCATGAAAAAAAATTTGAGTAGGGGCAAATTTTGTGAGTCGGTTGCGTTACTACAAACAAACATTTTTTTAAGGATGGCCTAATTTTAATCAATTATTATACTTTGGCCTTTGTATCTGAACATTAGACACATCTGCACATTGTCTTCAATTTGAAATGCTGAAATATTCACTAGATTCTCCTGCATAATAGTGAAGTAAAATTGTATAGGAACAAAAAAAAAATACTTCTATTCTTACTATTTAGTGATTTCTTTTGATACTGTGGCAAAGCATTTTTTATAAACTTATATAAACCAATGTATGGAGATGATTTTGGTGGGTGAAAAGGTTAAACATTTTATAATTCAAGCGCTGTGTCAGGTATATACCAGAATACAATATTTTAATAGTTTGGTGCTCAAACACTTTAAATAGGCCCCTTTTAAAAATGGGTCGTATTATAGGGCGGGCTGGCAGCGTTCAATTTTCTTCAGAACATATTTCCTAAACACATGAAGGTAGTTTATTAAAACTACATAGAAATGTTTACCACTATGAGAAGCTGTGTCGCAGGCATGAATCAGGTCTCTAGGTTAAAGGTCAAGGCTCATTGAAAAACGCTTGTCAAAAGCAAAACTTATATACCAGGGCTTCTGTTAATGGAAGTTTGGGAGTCATTTACTCCTTGATTTTGGAATGTGACTTCCAAAATCTAATACCTTTTCTTCTTTATCTATATAATGAGACGTCCAAAATCAGAGATTTTGCAGTCTCTGACTTCCAAATTTTGAAACTTAATGTAAGCCCTGATATACATTGAGGGATTTCAATATAACTTTGCACAAATGTTAACCATTGTGTCCCTGCAACCAAGGTCAAGGTCACACATAGAGGTCAAAGTTCAGGTAAAAATATGAAGGTTTGTATAAGGACCATTTTAGTCATCATTTATTTAGAGATTGTAATAAAATTTACATCACTTACACTTCAGTATTTATATAGATAAAGAGTTAAAACTAGCTGAAAATACATACTCAAAAAAATCATTATCACATTCAAGGGGGCTATTTCTAATTTACTAGTACATATATTTCGATCTACTAATTTAAGAGTTCTTATGCTAATTTACTCTGTATTATGTAGACACTTAATGTGCCTCTTCACTGACCAAGAGTAATCTATGAAAAGCCTCAGCTTGACCTGGAGTTAAAAACATTATGTTGAGAAATTGCCTAGAGGCATATAGTGTTTTGACTGACAGGAAACTCAGCAGGAGTCCAGGCTCCAATATACAAGGATTTAGTGACTTACATTTATCTTAAGCCAGTTTTTGCTAATATTTTACACTCAATATGCCATCTTTGATAGAAATATTTTTTTTAGGCCAGGGTTTCTCAGGTGGTTCCGGCCCTGGGTTATAATATAGTATATTCAATGTCTAAAAGTTACATGTATTTTAAGTCATTATACAAAAAGACAAAGCTTAAGCTATGTCAGGAAATATTGATTTATTTGAAAGCGTTCATATTAATTATTTAACATTGATTGGTTTTAAAGTTTTGAAATTCATTTTCCTGAGGACACGTAGACAATATGGTTCATCATATGAAATAGGTGAATATTGTGAAGGTTGTAAGCGTAAACTAAAAGTGCTAATACCTTGCGTTTGGATGTTCATTTGATGGTAACTTGTTTGATCATATTGCATTATAACATGATATATATAGTATAAGTTGACAGATTTCTTTACACTCGGGTATATTAATATTCAGTGAGTATAGATTTTTTATTACTTGCTTTATAGTAGATACTAATGGTGAAATTATATTTGGATTATTTTACAGTGAAATTATCAAAATATAAAGTAACCAAACTAGAGCTGTCATTGATTCAGTGCAATGCAAAACCAATATATTGATAACAGACATCAAATATTGATGATAGTATTACACCAATAACTAAATACTTGTCTATTATTCTTCTTCATACCTGTTTAAATGCTTTCAGTAAAAACATGTTCTTTTAATACATAATTATGTCTTGTTTACAAATGCACATTGCTGGGTTTTTGCATTTTGTTCATGGTGTATTGCCAGATATTTATTCTCAAACATTTAAATTGTTATCACATTATTGCAATTATCATGATTCATTGGTATATCTATATCAGACCAACTATTCTCATCATGTTTAAAAACATTATAAAAGTGTTTAGTATACTATGGAACGCCGTGACTGTCTTATGTAATCAATGTTTTTGTTATCTTGTGAAACGATGATATTATTTTGTCGTTTGAGCATGTTAACATGTGCAATTTACATCATGTCTTGTCAAAGGAACATGCTGACTTGTACAAATAGCATGTTAACTTGTCAAATTATTATGATGACATGTGCAGACAACATGCTAACTTGTCAAAGTATCGTGATGACTTGTGCAAACAACATGTTAACTTGTCAAAGTATAATGATGACTTGTGCAAACGACATATTAACTTGTCGAATTATTGTGATGACATGTGCAAACAGCAAGTTAACTTGTCAAAGTGTCATGATGACTTGTGCAAACGCCATGTTAACTTGTCAAAGTATAATAATGACTTGTGCAAACGACATGTTAACTTGTCAGAGTATAATGATGACTTGTGCAAACGACATGTTAACTTGTCAAAGTATAATGATGACATGCGCAAATGACATGTTAACTTGTCAAAGTATCATGATGACTTGTGCAAACAGCATGTTAACATGTCAAATTACCATGATGACTTGTGAAGACAACATGTGAACTTGTCAAAGAATCGTGATGACTTGTACAAATGACATGTTATCTTGTATCATGCTGACATGTCAAAACGTACTGTTAACTTGTCAAAGTATTATGATAACTTGTGCAAACGCCATGCTAACATGTCAAAATTTTATGATGACATGTGTAAACAGCATGTTAACTTGTCAAATTATCGTTATGACATGTGCATACAGCATGTTAACTTGTCCAAGTATCATGATGACTTGTGCAAACGACATGTTAACTTGTCCAAGTATAATGATGACTTGTGCAAATGCCATGCTAACTTGTCAAAATTTCATGATGACATGTGCAAACAGTATGTTAACTTGTTTATAAACCGAAAATTCCTCTGAGGGGGATTTTGTCCTAGGTAGCAATTTTATGAAGGGGATTTTGTCCACTTCAAAATTTCACACATGAAGGGGATTATGTCCACCCATGAAGGGGATTATGTCCGGATATACAAAAATACATGAAGGGGATTTTGTCCGAAGGGGATTATGTCCGTACACCGTGCACACAACATGCTAACTTGTCCAAGTATCATGGTGACTTGTGAAAGCGACATGTTAACTTGCCAAAATTTCATGATGACATGTGCAAACAGCATATTAACTTGTCAAGGTATCGTGATGACTTGTGCAAACTCCATTCTAACTTGTCAAATTATCATGATGACTTGTGCAGACAACATGTTAATTTGTCAAAGAATCGTGATGACTTGTGCAAAACACATGTTAACTTGTTAAGGTATTATGAGCATGACTGTCATCACGATAATTCGACAAGTTATGATGTCGTTTGCACATGTCATGATGATTATTTGACAAGTTAACATGCTGTTTGAACAAATCAGCATTGTCTTTAGACAAGGCTACCATGTTAATTGCACATGTTAATATGCTTAAATGACAAAATAAAATCATCATTTCACAAGATAGCAAAAACATTGATAGGATAAGACAGTCATGGCGTTCCATAGTATGCTGTGCAAATCTTACTAGGTGAGTCTGTCTGAGGTCTGGAGGACAATGCAATCATTTTTATGTTAGAAAGTCACTAGTGTAGTTAGCTTTTACTATTTAATAGCAAACAATGGGCCTTTATTGTTGTGTGGATAAGGTCTTTGACTTAAAATTATTTACTCTCACATTTGTTGGTTTATATCAAGCCAGAGTTTTTAGATAACTGATTCTCCTGTGAGGAATCTATCCAGCAAACTTACAGATTGCAGGTAGTTGTAGTGTAAATGTACTCACTCAGTTATGTCTGAAATACCAATGTAGAGTCATGGGAAGTCCCACTGCACCAATAAAACTAGAAAGTTGCCAAATAACTATAGCAGTCTTTGTGTAACTGAAAACCCAACAAAATGTTCAATAAAATATTTTGTGATTTTCAACTTTAAAGGCTTTAGCCATTTTGTCCTTTTGACCAGAAATAGCCCACTGCTGGAATCTTACTTTGCCTTTCTGTTCATTCCACTTTCATTAGATAAGATATTAGAGGCTGCTGTATTTCAATGTGTTCTGATTCCTTAAATTTATAAACATCATAATCCTTAAATTATTCAGCTTCAGGTGTTCATGTTATGTCTCATGTTTATTTTTTCAGCATTTCAAAGAATTGAGTTTTTTTAAACACGTTGTAAGGAATTTTCTTGAACAAACTTATGGATTGTCACTTAAGTATGTATGCAGTCTTTGATGGTCTGTATAACTCATTTAGTCCTGTAAATTGTCTTGTCTCTTTTTTTTCTGAAGAATTTTCATAATTTTTATACCTATTTATTTGAGAAGTGTCTTATTTTTCAATTGAAGTAAAGTTTAAATGAGTATTTTATATTTACAGGTGAGGAAAGTTTAAAGATAATGCGGCGATATGGACACCATGATCGCGTTAATGGCAATACTCATATGAAGAGGTCACTCAGTTCACATAGAGTACAACAACAAATAAACGAGTTGTCTTATTTACAGTCAGCAGAACTTGTCACACCTTGTAGATTGTTCCTTGTCCTTATTGGTTAGTATATTATTTTGTGTCCTTATTCGTTAGTATGTAATTTTGTGTCCTTATTGGTTATTATGTTCATTTGTGTTCTTATTGGTTAGTAGGTGATTTTGTGTCTTAATTGGTTAGTAGGTGATTTTGTGTCTTAAATGGTTAGTATGTTATTTTGTGTTCTTATTGGTTAGTAATTATGTTATTTTGTGTCCTTATTGATCAGTACGAGGGGTGTCCCAGAATTACGTGGACTTTTGCTATAACTTTTTTATTTTTTAATGCATTTTTTAGCAATTTTGTACACAATACCTTTAACATATCCTTAATGAATATGTCCATTATTTTTAAATTTCTAACATTGCTTCTCTATATTTTACGTCGCTATAGTAACGCAGTATGCGCGGGGCGGGGCAGTCCAATATTTTGTATTAATAAGTTGTCTTTACTTTCGTATATCTTGCGTATTTATACATAAAAAATGGCGCGACGTCGTAAGCATATGCAGTGACGTCATATGAACGTTCGTTTGAAATTTTGACGTCATAGCTGTTTCCGTTATTGTTTACCAGCGGACAACTGACAACCGTTGCTCTTGGATATTTAAGAAAAAATGACGTCCACGGATTACGCGGAACATCGGACTATCATCAAGTTTTGTGTTAATCTTGGGAAGACGCCAACACAGACGCAGAAAATGTTGGAGACTGCAAAAGTGAGACCTCCTGTTTGTCGATCACTCGTTTTCAAGTGGCATAAGCGTTTTCGAGACGGCCGGGAGGACATTGAAGTCGACAAAGGTCGTGGGAGAAAGTCAACGTTGACTGCGGCGTCAATTAAGGAAGTCAAGGACGTCATAGATCGGGACAAGCGTTACAATGCTGAGTACTATTCAAGTAAGAAATAATTGTTTGTTTAAAAAAATGATTTTTAAAAATTAAGCTAATCACAATTTATTATTTTAAACGCAATTTATCCGCTTCAGCTTTTAAGAAAGTGAACCAAACTGCTGTAGTAAGCAGTGCGCATGATAGGTTATTTCCCTTGTTAACGCACATTGTCTTTGCGTACAAAATAAAGTCCACAATAATAATAATAATGATAATAATAATAGAAAGAATAATAATAATAATAATAATGAAAAAAATAATGATAAATGATAATTATAATAATAATAATAATACGGCGTCAGCATTATCACCGTCGTCTTAACTCTATTATCGTAACAAAAGTTAATAGTATGCTTTATTATTATTATTATTATTATATTTATTACAGTGTACGACCAGTAGATATATCGACACCATAGGTGTATTGAGTTAGGCGGCGACTATGTTGAGAAAAACTGATATTCGACGCCACACATTTATTAACAACTAGCGACGCCACCGGAATGACGTCGTAACGTCGGAATGGACTGCCCCGCACCCGCTACCCCTTGTGTCATTACCCTGCCCACAGACACTGATCCGGTTGCCGGACAACTTTGAATTTTTTTGTACTAATGCAAATAAAGTTGCATTTTGTTCATGTTGATTTTGTTTGTTTTTATTTTCAGTAGTTTTTGAGTTACAGCAAAAGTCCACGTAATTCTGGGACACCCCTCGTACATTATTTTGTGTCCTTAATGGTTATTACATGGTGTGTTATTTTGTGTTCTTATTGGTTGTTATGTTATTTTTTGTACTTATCGGTTAGTAGGTTAATTTATGTTCTTATTGGTTAGTAGGTTCTTAGTAACTCAAATCAAAAATAAATATTGGTGACTCTGTCTTCATCATTATTAAGTTACATTTAACAAAAAAGCACAATTTTATTAGATAGTATATGCACTTTTATCCATATCCTTTAATTGTTTTGTTGTTTAAAGTACTAATATGTTTGGCAATGTTCATATGCATGAGTACCTAGTTAGGTGAACTGATACAGCTTGCATGCTCTACTAGCACTGTATAAATTTACATGTGATATATTTTTACAGGAAGTGTAGTGATGATATTACTGATATCTCTCAGTATTAGCAGTGATGAGATCACCTCCAGTCCGTATCATACTGACAATAGAGTCAACCTAACCAAAGAACCCTATCATGTGAATTATAAAACAGTGCAGCAGATGAGAGAAGAAATGCTATTGCATTATGGGTATTCATCTTCAGAAAATAAAGTAGAAAAAAGATCAGATATTTCTCTACAAGAATTCTGGGACCTATATGATGGAAAATGGTACATTGTTTTAGCTTATTAATTATTTACTTAGTTTTTTTTTGTTCTAGAAACATGTCGTGAAAATCTATAAACACTATAATATATATAAATTAGAATTTAAGCTAGTTCATTCTGTTTGGATGCTTGGAAGTTCTATGTAAAAATGGTCTTAATAATACAAGAGATTGATGCCTTTCTAGACTATTGAATGTTGTTATGTGTTTTAGCTTTCCAAAGAATAGTGGGTTGAAAAGTGGGACTACAATGTATTATACACACCCTAGCATCGACCTTGCAAGCCACAATTTGTTGATGTTTTGTGTGTAACTTCATATCTTATTAACCACCAATGGCATTCACCTGAATTTTCTGACATGACATCTTGACAGTATTTTTGTAGGTCACTGTCCAAAACCTAGGATGTGTTTTTACAAAATAATAGCCCTTTTTGTGCTTAGCAAATTCCTTACTAAAGTTTTGCACTTTTGTCAAGACATGGATGGTATTCGTCTGAAACTTACACATTATCTTCTATTCATACAGTCAACTATCGTTATCTCGACATCGCTTTTCTCGATATTTCGTTATCTCGATGAAATTTTGAAAGTCCCGATTTCCTTCTTTCTTTATCTATATTGGAAATATTTGTTTATCTCGATATCTTTATTTCGATATTTTCAGTATCTCGATGTAAAATTTCAGCCCAAATAGTTATTTTCACACTATTATCCTTTTTTTATCTTGACTAATATTTTTCTTTCGTCTGTTCCCTTCAGACGTGTGAAAAACACAAACTAGACGATAATTGCTCAAAAGCGCGTGTCATAATGATGATTATGTTTATAACAAGTCGAGTTGTTTTATAAAAGTTAATCTATTTAGCGTGTTGATTGACTGTTGTCCAAAATGAGTGAATTTTACGTTCTTTAATAATATTCGAACATTGTATCAATTCATTATGACTTTAAATGTAAATGAAAAAGTGAAAGTATTGAAACGCTATCATTGCAATGTATTGTTTTACAACATCACCACCAAATTAATAAGCAGTCGAACAATCTCGAGAAAATAACCCGGGAGGATATCCGGATCAACCATCCTAAAAGTAATGTTTTCACTGAGTTAACCTCACTATGTGTTTTTATCACAGACACCCATATTTCCGCTGGAAATTATCCGATTATGTTACTTTGTTAAATATTGACTAGGTCTATGAAAACATGACATGGGGATAACATAGTTTATTTGACATAAAGTATGCACATGTCTTTTGTAAAAATCAGTGTCTGCCTTATTCAAACCCTAATACGTTTATCTCGACATTTCGTTATCTCGATATTTTTGGACGGTCCCGATGACTTCGAGATAACGAGAGTCGACTGTAATTGTAAGTCAATCACAAAGGCCAATAACTCTTATCATAGTGCATAATTTCCTTTTGTTTGCTTAATTTTTTCTGGTTAAAGCTTTGTGTGCATGATCAATTTATGCAACACGTGAGTATAATTTTTTATTTATTTGAAATTTCACATGTCTTCTTGGTCATCACTGCATGTCATTCACAAAGACCCATTTTTTTAGCTTTGATTGTTACTGAATTATTTCTTTTTGTGAACTTATGATATTCTGCAAGCTCTATCAAGTCCTGAAAATAGTCCAAGTATAGTGTCTGTCTGTCAGCTATTGTAAAAGAATGAATCAATTATTTATTTTTTCCTTCATTTAATATTTTCAGTGTCTCTCATTCTGTTGAAATGTCATAGAAGCACAAAGGTTTCATGATGAATAATTTATTCAACCCTTTGCCTGCTGAAATTCTTAAATGGACTTGTCAAACTTCAGTTTTTGGAATTATCCATTATTAATTTTGGGTATATCAAGATAAAATTAAAAGATAGTCTGCCAACAGTATAGAGCTTGGTCAGACTGCACCAAAAGCAATTCCGACTCTCCACTGGTAGGTGAGGCTTTCAGTTCCAGCAGATTAAAAGTTAAGCTGTTGCTATGGATTTGATTTAAACAGCTTGGTTATATTTCAGGCCTATTGTTATATTAGATATAGTCCCAAAATGGCATGCATACAAGAAATGGGGCAAGGACTTTTTTTCCAACAATTATGGGGCAGACAGAATCATTCTAAAAGCTGTGGAGGTATACAATATTTTTGCTATTTTCAATTTTGATAACTAAAACTGTGATTATAAACAGTGATGGTGGTGGTGGTACTTTTCACTCCGGATCACAACAGTAAGCCACATTGAATTTACCACAGCACAGTTACACCACTGCATAGTTCCTGGGCATGCTGTCTGACAGTTTACCAGTACTAGTTGCCTTCACTTTCGCAAGGAACTGAAACTTCTATCAGGCTGTCCAGCGTCCCTAAAATTCCTAAAAAATCCTAATTTTTTTCAGTTTGGTTAAAATTCCTAAAAAAGTGAAAAATTCAAAGGGAATTCCTAAAAATGCCCTATTTTTTCACTGAAATTCCTAATTTTTTTTATCTATTGTTATAAACATACTTATAACTTGTAAAACTGTGAAAATGATCTCGAACATTATTAACAAAGTGGACCATGTTTTAAACATGGTCAAAAATGATTTTGCCATGATTTGCCAACTCAAAAATTGGTGACATTGAAATGGTTTTGTTCCAACTAAAAATTACTTTGACTATGTCCGTAACATTACTATTTCATAATCAAAGCAGTTGTTTATAATCATGTTGACACTTAACAGCAAAAACACTACCATATCATGGTCCTGAAACTTAAATCATAACCATAAGAGGTCGACTTATTTTGGAATATTTTGACACTGTTTTGCCAACTCCAGATATCTTGAATTTTATGATTGTTCTTTTTTTCAAATGGTTGAAGTGGTCCATTTATATCATATATCATATTTGAAAATGATCATTATAAAGCTGTTGTAACACAATTTTAATTAATAACATGTATAAAAATCTGTTGTCAAAAATTAATGTACAATTTGTTTACTCACAACCCTTTTATTCAAATCTGCATAATTTCAAAACAACATTGTAAAGTACTAAATATGTGAACATAGACTTTGCAAAATTAATTCTAACCATGTACACACATTTTGCAATTATGTGATCTAGATAAACTGCAATTGAATGATCTATGTGATGAACTTTTTTGATGTGCAATTCTGTGTGTTGATTAAAGATGCTTCCCATTTGTTCAAATGACTGTACAAGGCTAATGCCTTTTTACTTCCTACTTGTACAAAAATTTCATTTGTCCATATTCAAAAGCTGCATTGTGCATGAATTTCACTGTAGAAGAATTCCTTTTAGACACTCGTGGTTATAACATTCCCAAAACATAGGTAGAACATGTTCTTTTTGACATGTTCAACCATTGAAAAAGCATATTTCAAATATGGTTTGAACATGGTTTGACTATGACCATTTCCGCAGGTGAGGCAGTTGACCTGTGAGCCCACACTGGTAGACACCTTTGCTCTAACTAAACTATAGCATTATTTGTGAGTTACTTTTGTATCAAATATTCAAAGGTTAGCCAACATCATGGTCTTTTGGGCCATGGTACTTATAAAATTCTAAATTCTAGCCCTAAAATTTCTATTATGTACCCTTAAATTCCTAATTTTAGCCCTAAAATTTCTAAAATATTGCCCTAAAATTTGCCCTAATTTTATGCTGGAAGGGGCTGGACAGCCTGTTCTATACATGTCAGAGCAGATGTACAGTGTGAATGACTGTAGAAAGGATTTCATGATCAATCACAACGAAAATGACCTGCGCAGTGATTTATATCAGTTCATATACAGTGTTTTTTCTTCTACTTTGGGAATGGTGCCGGTACCAGACTGATTGGGAAAAAATGTGTTATTTTGACTTATATTAGGAATATTTTTTAATGCATTTTTTCAGCTACAAATAGATTAATCATCATGAATAGAGATAGGTAACAGCTTCCACTGTCAAGGTAGAACTATGAAGTGGTGATTTATATGAATATGTTGGATTTAAATGATTTCAGAGAAATTTCTTGGCCTTGTGAGAATTTTGAACAGCCATTTTGGGAATTTAAACATTGGAAATTGGGAATTTTAATGTCTATTTTCTATTGGGAACAGTACCGATTTAGGGTAGTAGTTATATAAAGAAAAAAAACTGATACATGTATATAAAAAGTCCTTTATATCAGTTCATATATATATATACACAACAAAATCTGTGCAAACAGGGGAGAAAACTCCTTTGACAGTTGAAAATACTATTCTTCTAATCTACCTATAACTGACCTTTCCATGTATTATATAGTTAATACATTTATGTTTTATGATAGATATCAGTGATCTTCTTTACCTTATATGTGGGTTTTATGATAATTTCATAGACCTGATGTGTAAACAAGCAAAACAAGTTCATATACATGTAATTTATATCTACACAAACCTTAATTCAATCCAAATATGATACATACAACATTATAACTTTAATTTTTCTCTAGGGTGTACTAGATGAAGGTGTTGCACATATAAGAGATATGAAATCATTTATCAGTCATTTAGAGCAGCCGTCACAACCTGATTCATGGACGTACATGGAAGATGAAATGTTCCTTATGCTTCGACCTGAGCTCAAGAAACATATTGGCAACAATGTAAGTAACTGACTTGAACTCAGGGTTTAATATTTAACTCAATGTAAGTCTAACCTGAACTTGGGAAACCAATATTGGATGCAATGTAAGTATGAGCTGCACTCAGGGAATAGTATTGGACATTGACATGAACTTTGGGAAATGTAAGTCTCTGCCTTGACCTCAGGGTACATTATTGGGCACATTGTATGTCTCTAACCTGAACTTGTAAGTTATTGGTCCAGACCTATATCATATGGTACACAAATCGCAGAAAAAGAACTATGGATTATGATACATAAAATAAGTTTCTGACCGTTCTGAACTACTGATATTCATTGAGCATGAAATAAGTTTCTTACACATATTGAGCATAAAATAAAATAAGGATACATATAGCACACAATGTTCCAAATTTCTTCAAAGAGAGGAAGATTTTAGAATTTGCAATAAACAAAGAAGAAAGTTCTGACATCAAAAAGAGGGAGATTTATTTTATTTGTGAAAATACCCCTTATTTTAAGAAAAATCTTTGAAAATATGGCTGCAGAAAGTGGTAGTCTCCCACTTTAAGTGGGAGAGTTCACATGTATGTGTAAAAATATAATCTGAAATATTTATAAACCAGTAAATTAAGCAGATATAAACTTTGGAGAAATATTGTGTTTCTGTCATCATGATACAAATCTGTCTTAATTACTGAATAGTTCAATACCTTTAAAATAAATTAATATTTATATTAAAGCTGCATGCCTCCAGATGAGCCAAAATATTTCAAGAAATTCAATCTTTGGAAAAATGTATTAAGATCTTAAGCAAAGTAAAAAAGATTCAATATTTAATTAATTATTCACATGTTATGTGCGATTTATGACTGATTTTGCAGTATCAATTACTATAATTCTACTACTACGTTACTAACGCACGGCAGTAAGAGGTATTTATGTATATTGTGACCTCTTTTTGGTAATTTACATGGAAGTGCCGTTTGCAATGTGTGAATTATTTTCTTTGGTCTTTTCACAGTATTTTCCTTTCAAATACATTTTCAAAATTTTCGTGAACATTAGCATAAATCTGGAGGCATGCTGCTTTAAATGAGGTAAATGTTTAATATTATGGCAGATTTGTTTCCTATTTACAGGTTTTCATGGAAGAAAATTTCTTCAACTTATTCCCCTACGAAGTTCGACCTTGGGATTGTATGATGTTATGGGGAACGAAATATTCCAGATCAACTCTTCATATGGACCCATACAACTGGACAGCTATCAGTGCTGTTATATGGGGCAGAAAAAAATGGAAGGTATTTAACTTGTCTTTACAAATATTATAACAAACTGTCAGAATCAATATCTGTCTCTGGTATAATTATGAAACAATAAATCATTTATAATCACTGTGTGTTGAAACAGGATTATTATCAAAGTGCTGACAGTCATAAACATCAGTCCATTATATCTATCCAACCAGCTTACAAAATGTCATAGGTTCTGCTTAGATACCTTCCCAAGTCCGAAATTATGCTTGGAGAAGCATATAAATAATGTATTGGGTCTCTCTAGCTCAACTATATGAATAATAATGAGTCTATCATACATAACTGTGCGTTGGTATAGGCATAACAATGTTTGTCTTTTTGTTTCATCTTATTAACCACTGAAGTTATTTATTTTACATGTTTCATCATAATCCTAATTTGATGACACGACACAAATAACTCTGCACAAATTTTCATTCCATTATACTGCTTTATGAGGTTAAGAATTCTTTGACAAAGCTTTACATTCATGGCTGAGTATACCCACAACTTTCGGTGGTATTCAATTGAACCTTCACACATGTCTTTTGGATCATGACTTTAGGTCTAAGACCCGTAACTCTAGCATGAATGTTCACTTAATAATCACTTTTTGTGATTTAAGAACACTCACTTTCTTGAGGTTTTGCATGCAAGATCAAAATTTGACAATAATGAATTCACTTCACACATGTCTTCAGGTATATAATTGTAAGTCATTCATCAAGACACATAACTCTAGTATGGATTTTACCTAAATCATATCCCTTTGTAAACCAAGAAAATTGCTGTGTTGCTTTTTTTTTTAAAATCATATACTGGTAGATATTTTCAACCACAATTTTACAATTAGAACTGTCCATTTAAAGTCAGTTATTTTTTGTTTTATTTGCTCTTGCATAATTATATGTAAATTATTTTGCTAAGTTTTACCTTAATTGTTTTTTAAGTAAGGTTATAAACAATTATTAGTAGAAATGATTAAAAAACAATTACTATATATTTGCATGCCAGCTTTTCCCACCTGGACAGGACCACAACTTGTATATTCAGCCAGGAAATAAATGTGGTTTTCCTCTTGAATGTAACAAATATGATAGGTGTGATTCATGTTTTTTCTTTGTGTTTTGAAACATTCAAGAATGGACCCAACTACCATAACACTTATGATTAATTACATGAACAAACAACATGGCCATGATGATCTTATATTACTCTCAATATCCTGGTAGAATGGAGCTCAACAATCCTTTATGTAGAATATGCTTAATACACTGTGAAAGCCAAAGTTTAATAACTTTATTCAACTTTCCTGTTTTTTTTACCTGGGTCTAAGTGATGTAGAAATATTAACCATTAATTTACCTGGCGTTACAAGTGACTGACCTTTGCCACAAGTATGGAGCACATCCCAGCAGTCTGACCTGAAGCTATGTACTGCTTGTAATTCTGTTTTAGTACTTTGCTATTTAGATCCCTTTAACCTTGAATGGATTGTTCCAAATAAGATGCTTGATAATGCAATAAAAAAAAAACTGCAGTTTTCAAGTTAAAAGGTTAATATTCCCTATTTCCATTATTCTGGCAATCATAGACAAAATATGAGCATTACAAGAATAGTTTTAGACATGTCATATAGAGTAAGGGTCATCATAGTCTTGTTTCATTAAAATGAATGTGTTTTGGATAGTTTGGTATGTAATTGAATGTTTCATTTAATATCTGTATGTTAGCAAGTAGAAATATGTTGTAGTGTATTTCTATCATTTTTCTCTATTTACTTATCTTCTATCTGAAGGGATGTAAAGAAACATTGTTGTCTTTTACTTGACTCATCTGATTGTTGAGGAAAAAATGTCTTGATAGGCAGATACGTCAGTCTGTCCACATATCTTCCTTATGTTGACATATGTATTATAATAATGTCAGTTGATATCAGATTAATGTCTTGTTGTAAATAAAACCAAAGATTTTAGTGACTTTGGTGTTAACTCAGATTTATTTTCTTACTTTGTTGGCTGTTTATTAAGGTGGCCTTATCAGCTTGTATTTCTTGTTGTACTTTACAAACTTAGTATTTCAGTTATATTACATGGAGAAAGTGCATTATATTGCTGTTAAGCCTTCTTCAAAAAAATGCCTCGAGAGCTATTTTAAGCGCACAGTGACTTTCATATCTAAAAATATAAGATTGGGAAATGAATGGTTTACTAATTTACATATAGAGAGCGGACTGATAGATCAGAGGGAGTTTTCTTATTGTTAATGTATTTTATCAACAACAAATTTAATTTTATACAAGGCATTTCTTCTGAAATGATTTATATTAAAATAACAAATGAGCCGCGTCATGACAAAACCAACATAATGGGTTTGCGACCAGCATGGATCCAGACCAGCCTGCGCATCCGCGCAGTCTGATCAGGATCCATACTGTTCGCTATCAGTTTCTCTACTTGTAATAGAGTTGGTAAGCGACCAGCATGGATCCTGATCAGACTGCGCGGATGCGCTGGCTGGTTTGGATCCATGCTGGTCGCAAACCCATTATGTTGGTTTTGTCGTGACGCGGCTCATTTATCTTAAAATAACAAATTTAGAAACGCTGAAGGTCACTTAAACTGATAATTGGTCAATTGATATACTTTTAACAGCATAAAACTTATGGCTGTGTATAAATGATACATTGATTTTTAGAAGGCTAAAATGATTGGTTCGCAATAGGATGTTGTTTTCAATCTATATGTTATCTTGGTATAGACATTTTCATTTTTAATTACATTATATTTTTAAAGATGAAGAATTATCAGTATTGTTGTAAGTTTCATCAGTATTCATTGATCTTTTTTAATATTATTTGATCAGCATAATGTTATAGTATATTTTGTTTGCATTTCTTTTGGTGTAATGCTTTATCTCATACCAGTGCCGATTTTGCGACTCTGTAAAAGTGATATTGCCAGTCGTGCATAAATTTTGGTGTGACATCATTTGCGCTATACAAACATAGTTAAAAGTTAGCATTACTCGATAGGCGCATCGATGAAAAATGATTCTTTTTGCAATTTATAAGTCTTCATTTTGGGTATGTGATTAATAGAATTTTTGTGTAGGTTCATTAATGAATTTATTGAACTTGTTGAATAAAATAATATTTTGCTCACCAAAGGCTCACATAAGATAATTTAATTCAACTTGTTCAATAAATTGGTATTGAACCTACACTCATTCAGTATCCTCTTTATCATATATATTTATACAAACTTTGTCAAAAATAATACTCATTCTAATGTTTTAATAATTCTCAACAATATACATGTATCACTTGTGACTTTAATTATTGTTTTAATGTTACAATATTGTCATTGTATGTATGAAATGTAATGTTATATATTAATTTTAGCAGCTTGTCTGTGTCAAAAATTTTATTTTTATGTCCCCACAATGTGGGAGCATATATTGTTGCACTTGTCCGTCCGTCCGTCAGTCCATCCGAGCCAACATTTGATTATTATGAGCTTCATTCCGTAGTTAAATAAAGAACATAAACTCATAAAATTCAAATTAAGAGCCATTTTTTTGTTTTTATGAGCTTATTTTGCTTATGGACGTTGGTCCAGGTGGTGTTTATGAGCTCATTTGCCTCATAAACATCAAATTTTGGTATGTCCGTCCGTCCGTACGTCCCAAAATCTTGTGAACGCAACTCCTCTTAAACCGGATGGCAGATTTTGCTTAAACTTACAGGGATGAACAACCTTAATGTGTAGATGGTAGTAAAGGAAGGAATTTTTGCTGCGACCAAATTTAACAGAATTATGGCCCTTTGTTGATTTTTTCACTAGATACTATGTAGAAATTTTGTGAACGCAACTCCTCTTAAACCGGATGGCAGATTTTGCTTAGACTTACAGGGATGAACAACCTTAATGTGTAGATGGTAGTAAAGGAAGGAATTTTTGCTGTGACCAAATTTAACAGAATTATGGCCCATTGTTGTTTTTTTTTTCACTATATATATACTATGTAGAAATTTTGTGAACGCAACTCCTCTTAAACCGGATGGCAGATTTTGCTTAAACTTACAGGGATTAACAACCTAAAGGTGTAGATGGTAGTAAAGGAAGAAATTTTTGCTGCGACCAAATTTTACAGAATTATGGCCCTTTGTTGATTTTTTCACTATATACTATATAGAAATTTTGTGAATGCAACTCCTCTTAAACCGGATGGCAGGTTTTGCTTAAACTTCCAGGGATGAACAACCTTAATGTGTAAATGGCAGTAAAGGAAGGAATTTTTGCTGCAACCAAATTTAACAGAATTATATCCCTTTGTTGATTTTTTCATTATATACTATGTAGAAATTTTGTGAAAGCAACTCCTCTTAAACCGGATGGCAGATTTTGCTTAAACTTCCAGCGATGAACAACCTTAATGTGTAGATGGTAGTAAAGGAAGGAATTTTTGCTGCGACCAAATTTAACAGAATTATGGCCCTTTGTTGATTTTTAGTTTTCAACTTGTGGCACATGTAGTCCAAAAAATATTTGACCTAGAGTCATAAGATTGACAGAACAGTGGCGGTGGGGGCATCCGTGTCCTATGGACACATTTCTAGTTTGATACATCTTTTTAGACTTAAAACTCTTTTTATTGTCTCTACAACTACATTGTATACTGTTTCTATTAGGTATTTATATTAGCTTACCTGAGCACAAACTGATCAGAGATGAGCTTTTGTGATCACATGATGTCCCTTGTCAGTCATGCTTTCTTTTACACAATTTCTTTTAACAATATCTTCTTCCATATTTTCTCCCATACCATGTGGTAGATTTATAATAAACTTCACAGGAGTTAGTTTTAGGTGGCCCTTTACAAATATTATAAATTAAAACAGTTAGAGCAGAATATATATGTAGGTCTCTGGAGCCATGAATAGATTTATATAGAAATATATACATTTGAATTTAACTACAATGCCCAAAACAAAAGTGTTTTGCATATTTCATTTTTATGCCCCCACAGAGTGGGAGCATATAGCGTTGCACTTGTCCGTCCGTCCGTACGTCTGTCCGCACTACCGAATAAGGATAGGGGGCCATCTAACTGTAAACAGAACAAAAGAGAACAATAGAGTTCATTCCGTAACAATAGAGTAAGGGGCCATTGGCCCTCTATTAAACAATAGAAAATAACAAAAGAAATGGCCCCTTATTCCATTTCGGCCGGACGTCCGTCCGTCTGTCCGTACGTCCCGAAATCTTGTGAACGCAACTCCTCTTAAACCGGATGGCAGATTTTGCTTAAACTTTCAGGGATGAACAACCTTAATGTGTAGATGGTAGTAAAGGAAGGAATTTTCGCTGCGACCAAATTTAACAGAATTATGGCCCTTTGTTGATTGTTTCACTATATACTATGTAGAAATTTTGTGAACGCATCTCCTCATAAACCGGATGGCAGATTTTGCTTAAACTTCCAGGGATGAACAACCTTAATGTGTAGATGGTAGTAAAGGAAAGAATTTTTGCTGCGACCAAATTTAACAGAATTATGGCCCTTTGTTGATTTTTTCACTATATACCATATAGAAATTTTGTGAACGCAACTCCTCTTAAACCGGATGGCAGATTTTGCTTAAACTTCCAGGGATGAACAACCTTGATGTTTAGATGGTAGTAAAGGAAGGAATTTTTGCTGCAACCAAATTTAACAGAATTATGGCCCTTTGTTGATTTTTTCACTATATACTATATAGAAATTTTGTGAACGCAACTCCTCTTAAACCGGATGGCAGATTTTGCTTAAACTTCCAGGGATGAGCAACCTTAATGTGTAGATGGTAGTAAAGGAAGGAATTTTTGCTGCGACCAAATTTAACAGAATTATGGCCCTTTGTTGATTTTTTCACTATATACCATATATAAGTTGTCAGTGGGGGCATCCGTGTCCTTTGGACACAGTTCTAGTTTAGTTATTGTCTACAAAACTTACATAAATCATGACCCACAGGTAAAAAAATGCCCTTTCATTGGTGCCATTTAGTTAACATGGACATAAGAGGGGTGATTGATAAGTTCATGACATGAAAACAAAATACATCAAATAATACTTTTACTCCAGATTGTCAAAAGGTTCAAGTATTGTTTATATGCATTGAACATTAAAGTTTACATGAAACATTAAACAACACTACTACTTGAAGCAATGCCATTGTCAAGGTTGTGTGACCGGGACATTATCTAAATGTCAGAGTCTAGTGACCAGTGAATTTTCTCGACATAATCATAGTTTGGAATGATTTTTTGAATCAAACATTGTTCTTCATGTTCTGATTGAGTTAAAAGTGATATTTTTATAATACATTGCAATTGGTAATAACTTATTCTAAATTTATCTTGCATGAAGTCTAATGAAATGATACTGGTTTACTTTAATCAATAACAAAGTTTAGATAAAGTTTGAGATTTTATTTCAATATTCTCTCAGTTTTATATATATATAAAATAATAAATAATGTTGTTGTTTTTTCCACAGTATTGTAGATGCATTTGAACCTGATTACTGGAAATTTCCTAAATTCCGTAAAGTTCATTATTTGGAGGTGGAACAAAACAGTGGGGAGATGTTAATTATTCCATCTGGTTGGTACCATCAGGTAAGTGAGGGTTTATTGTGTCGCCTTGAAAAATGCGACATAAAGATTTGTTGAGGGTGTCGTTGTAGGCGTACCGTACCCTTAAGCTTATCCGGGGCATAAGTCAGTTACTATAAGTCTTATTGTCTCCAAACTTGGTATGCCCGCTTCTTATAATGACCCAAATTGCAGTGCACACGAATCGTTAGTTTGCACTTCTTTATTTTTGAGTTATTGCCCTTTGTTAATATTAATACTTTATTTTTGTCCGGGCCATTTCTCGTTCAGTATAAAAGCTATGGACTTGAAACTTCATAGGATGATAGATCTCATTAAGAAGAAGTGCAGTGTACAAGAAGCGATATTCTGCACTTCTTATTTTTTGAGTTATTTTCCTTTGTTAATTTTCATACTTTATTTTTGTCCGAGCCATTTCTCATAAATTATGAAAGCTATGGACTTGAAACTTTAAAGGATGAAAGATCTCATAAATAAGAACTACAGAGCACAAAAACTGGTACCCTGCACTTCTTGTTTTTTGAGTTATTGCCTTTGTTAATTTTTATATTTGTCCGGGCCATTTCTCCTAAACTATAAAAACTATGGACATGAAATATCATAGGATGATAGATATCATTGAGATGAAGTGCACTGCACAAAAACTGGTACTCTGTACTCAATCATGATTTTTGAGTTATTGCCCTTTGTTGATTTTCTCTCTTTATTTTTGTCCCAGCTATTTCACCTAAACTTTAAAAGCTTTGGACTTGAAACTTCATAGGAGGATAGATATTATTGAAAAGAAGTGCTGTGCACAAGAACTGGTACTCTGTACTTCATGATTTTAGACTTATTTTGCCCTTTGTTAATTATAATACTTTATTTTTGTTCGGGGGCCAATTCTCCTACACTTTAAAAGCTATTGACTTGAAACTTCATAGGATGATAGATCTCATTGAGAAGAATTGCAGTGCACAAGAACTTGTACTCTGCACTTCATGATTTTTGAGTTATTGCCCTTTGTTAATTTTCTTACTTAATAGGCTTGTCCAGAGCATAACTTGGTCACTATTAGTTTGATTGACTCCAAATTTGATATGTAAGCTTTTTTCATTGACCTGAAGTGCAGTGCTTAAAACTTTCCCATGGTATTTTTATTTTTGATAATATAACAGTTTTATTAATCCTGATGTAACATTGTTACAATCAGTTCAAATGCCACTAAAGTTAATGGTACATGTACATTGTACGAGCAGTTTTGATAAATAACCTATATTTAAGTAGAAAATGACTTAGTGAAAGTTATACTGTTCACAAGGTGACACATCCCACTCACAGAGTTCTAGTTGTAAATTATTCAAAGTATGTTATTGGTGCTTTAAACCAGTTGATTTGGATTCAATGAGTCCTTTGTGTTTATTAATGTAGTAAGAATATTTAGTAGAGTAGTTCCGTTCCAGCTGTTACTGTTTTATTTAATAAATTTGTATAAATAAGGGTTTTTTTATGCATTTATGTTGATTGACATTTGATAAACTTCCATTAATTTTACAACATAAATAATTTATTTGAACAATATAAATGTTGCAGGCATTCAATGACGAGGAGACATTATCTATCTCAATGGAGTTGATGAATAGAAACAATTACCTTGTGGTACTAGAGGAGATAATTAAAGGAAAGAATTTAAGCCGTAAGAAACTTCCTGCTCACTTCCACACACTTCTACCACCAGATCAGGTAAATTCTGAAATATTTATTACATGCTTTTCGATGGTTTATAGAAATATATCAGTGAATTAAAACTGGTAATTTCACTGCTTGAAACAGTGAAATTATCAATTTGATAATTTCACTGTTTTGAATTTAAGCCCCTTACGTTGTTTCAGTGAAATACCAGCGTACACAGAACTGGAAACCAACTTAATAAAATGACGTCATAAATGAAGTCACGTTGTATAATTATTTGGCGCGCTATTCATTTAGTATTAGGTGAAAATGTCCTTTTTAACGTTTGTTTGCATATAATAAAAAGAAAATTTGTTTAGTTTAGTGAAAGATCGAAATATATTTCACCTCGTGAACACCAAAAGTTCACATTTCACTCGTGGCTGCGCCACTCGTGAAATATACCTTTTGGTGTTCACTCGGTGAAATATATTCCGATCTTACACTAAACTTAGCAAATATCCTCTATATATCTAACACCAGTTCATTTAAAAATTCTTTATATATGTTTAGCTCATTAGAATCAAAGGTTTACAGGGTGTCCCAGTAAACACTCGATATCAATTTTAAATTTCTTAAAAAATACTGAACAGAACTGAAAGTTGATCTACATCATTTTAGATGTCAAACATTTACAACAGATAAAAAGATGGTTCAGGTAATGTGCCATTGAGATTATAAAAGTACACCAACATTTAAAAGCTTTTGAAAAATAAAAATATAAGCATTTATGATGCATCATGAGCCTTTAAATGGTTTTTCAAGTTTATTAACGTAATTGCTATAATACAAAATGTACTTATTGATAATGACTGGTTCTGCTTAAATTGACCATCGAATATCATAAATAAAATTGAATATTTCGAATTTGTCACATTGTTGATAATGTATAAACTAGGCTGGTTTGACCTGATAATACATTGTTTTACAAGTATAATGCATGATTTTACAATCAACTGTTAATGTTTTTATTATTTAGGTGAAGTTGTTCATGTCTCTACTACCAAAGAAGATTTTGAAACATGGTAAAGAAGTCAATGATGATTTAATAAATACATTAGATATTATGAGGAATCAGACATCAGATTTACAGCAACCAATAGCTGCCACCACAGACTGATTTTCTACTCAAGTCAGAGTCAGACTGACTTTGTTATCTTTTGATAATTATCAAAATAGGAAGATGATAATGAATGTGTGTAGGTTCAGTACTGAATTTATGAACAAGTTTGTTCATTTTGATATAAAAACAGCTTAATTATAAGGTTGAATCAAATATGATAAACAGGATCAACAAGGAAAGGCAGCGTTCAATGAGTGGCATCCCCCACACAACCCAGAAATTGACCTGTATAACGTTTTTTTCATTCGTCCAAATTTTATTTATAGTTTCAGTAAACAATTAACAACTTTTTATTGGTCTATTACAACTTTGGCGGTAAAATTTTTTGTGTTTTTATTCTCATAACACATTAACTACATTACATAAATCAATATAACAGTTGTTTAACACATTCCATTTGTTACTTATATAACAATCAGCAAAACCATTAAAGCCTTCAACTTTCTTGTTACAAATAATCTTTTACTGCCATTCAATAAAGAAACGTCTTGATGTGTAGATAATCAGAATTTTCATCTATCAATTAGCGACAACCATAACCCATTTTTTGGTCATTTTATATTTTGTTGACACAGAGATCACAATGTTTGAAATTTAAATATGCCACAAATACAAATACTTTACCTTACCAGTTTTATTATCTTCAGTAGAGCCCCGACTTATGACCACCTTGTTTTTACAACCAATCCACTATAAAGACCAACTTTTCAAAGAAAGATTTTTTTTCTTATTTGAGACCACCCCACTATTATAAAATATAACCACTTCCTTCTGACAAATTAACAATTTGGCATGTATGTAGACCCCGTTAATTAGACCCTACCTGGATAGTTGTAAAATCAAGCTTGTCAACATGTTTTGTCTATCAACTACCATAGGGACTTTTGTACTAATTATTGACGCTTGTTTTTATGACATCAAGAATGGGTTATGGTTGTCGCTTATTGATAGATGAAAATTCTGATTATCTACACATCAAGACATTTCTTTATTGAATGGCAGTAAAAGATTATTTGTAACAAGAAAGTTGAAGGCTTTAATTGTTTTGTTGATTGTTATATAAGTAACAAATGGAATGTGTAAAACAACTGTTATATTGATTTATGTAATGTAGTTAATGTTTTATATTTATGTTTACATGATGAATGTGTAAACAAATGTTATATTGATTTATGTATTGTAGTTAATGTTTTATATTCATGTTTACATGATGGATGTTAAACTAACTTTTCTGTAGACTGATGTTTCACAATTAAATCGTTTAAGTCCCATTTATTCTCAAAAACATATTTTTTCATTTAAAAAATGATAGAAAAATATTTACAGGCCTAAAACACAGTGTAATATGAAAATATGACACATTTCACATCTTTAATATTTGTCACTTGTTTCTGAAAATCTCAATTTTGTGTATTTCAGGCCAATGTGTAAGTTCAGATTAATCATTATGTTTACATATTTTATATAACTTGATGGATTGTGAGAAAATTTGGCAGGCCTGATGTGTACACCAGGGTCAGACCGTTTCACTAACATACTTACGCAAATTCTTAAACTTAAACGCAAAAATTTCCATTGATCTTTTTATGTCCATAGCAAGTATTTGTTTTTATATTTTATGTTAATTAAGTTTTGAGCAAATAAAAGATTGAATATATAAGATTTAAAAACATGCGAGTATGTTTGAATTTATTTTCTAGCACATTGAAAAAATTTTGCGTAAGTCAAGAATTTGCGTAAGTATGTTAGTGAAACGGTACCCAGGGTCAGATCATGTGTCATGTGCAACATATAGGTCCGGGTTGTTTGTAGATATAGAATTGTTATATGTCCTATGGACACATATCTTTTTATTTTATGCAATATTACAAGACCTTTTTGTCAACAAATTGTTTTTGTTATTTAGCTTTTGTAAATAATGTTTATGTAATTTGTTGTTGGTACATTAAGACTTACGTCAGTTATTGGTATCAGGAAGACACTGTACATTGTTTTATGAGTTTGTTAGTTAAATACATAATGACTATGTGATCTTATATTAAATACCACAGTAGAAAATCCTTGCTGTCAGGTAATTTTTAACCAGGTTTTTCGAAGGAAAAAACTGGTTATTAGATTGAGGTATGTTGGCGGACGGGCGGGCAGGGTGTAAACAATTTCTTCTGTGCGCAACTCCTCTTACATTTCTCTACGGATTTTGACAAAACTTGCAAAGAAGCTTTGTAATCAAGTGCCCTGGCGCATATTGTCGGGGTTTTGTGATTGGATAATATTTGACCTAATTATGGCCCTTTGTTTTTTTTTCCTTATATAGAATATAAAGTGAACAATTTCTTCTGTACGCAACTCCTACATTTCTCAAAGGATTTTGTTCAAACTTTCACAGAAGCTTTGTCATCAAGTGCCTTGATGCATATTGTCGGGGTTTTGTGATTGGATAATTTTTGACCTAATTATGACCCTTTGTTTTTTTTTTCGTTATATAGAGTATGAAGTGAACAATTTCTTCTGTTGCACAACTCCTTCTACATTTCTCAAGGGATTTTGTTCAAACTTTCACAGAAGCTCAGGGTTTTGTGATTGGATAATTTTTTACCTAATTATGGCCATTTGTTTTTTCCATAGTGTAATATATCCTTTTAATCACAACAAACTTTATTGAGTTATAAAACTCTCAAGGTTGTTGCATGCCTGCCAGCTCATCTGCCTGCTTTTGGGTCCTGTAGAGTCAAGGTAAAGGTCATTGTTGCTAAAAATAAAAAATCTGTGTCCAGTCAGGTCACTGTTACTAAAAATAGAAAATAGGTTTTCGGTCAATAACTAGTTTGGAATAAGATATTTTTATGAAATTTGGTGTAAAGCAAGTTTTTATAAGGACCTCACTTGGGATGGCTTTTTTACCCCCAAGGGTCAAGGTTACAGTTACTAAAAATAGAAAATTCATTATTCATGATTTACATTGCATGTAGATACATTGTTTGCTGCTTGTATTTGTATTTCAACTACAACATATTTATCTACAATGGTGATAATTGAAAACCTAGTTTTATGGCATTGCCATGTTTCTTGTTTATCTGATATTAGAATGGTTTGGTTATTTATGTACCCAGATGGTGTGTGTGATAATGTTGTGTAAATTTGATGAATATTGTTTATATAAGCACAACTTTTTGAAGAAAAAATGTGCAGCTATTATCATGACCCTCTCATTGTTGTTGGCATTGGTTAACCTTTTTGTTAAGGTCCATTTTCTCAGAAACTATAAAAGCTGTTAATTGACTTCAAACTTAGAATTAATTTACTTCAAAATTAGAATACATGTTAATGTCATAAAAGGACACTTCAAAAGGGCAGATTATCCCTAAATTTTTTATGCAAAGTTATTCCCCTTTCTCAACTTAGATTTTTAGCCCTGGTCAACTTTTTGGTTAAGGTCCATTTTCTCAGACACTGTCAAAGTAGTTCACTTCAAACTTTATTTATCTGTTTACTTTTATTCTTCTGCTAAGGTCAGTTTCTCAAAAATTGTCAAAGATAATCACTTCAAACTTGGAATTCTTGCTCAATTTTTAAATTGGAATGCATTTCTTAAGGGCAGGTAACTATTATTTAATTTTCGGTTATGCCCCTTTTTATAGGGTGAGCTTTTAGGATTGTTGAATGTCCATTATCCGTCCACATTAAGTTCATTAACACTCTAGTGGTCACATTTTTTGCCTCAATCATCATCAAACTTGGTCAGGATGCTTGTTTGACATGGAATTTCTTGATTGACTTTTTTTTTATAATACATTTCTCAAAAAGTGTCGAAAGATATTCACTTTGAAGTTTGAGTATTTGTACAATATCAACTTTGCAATGCATTTGTAAGGAGCACATAATTTTAAAAGCCATTTTTGCTTAATGTTTCCCTTTTTTGACTTAAAATATTTGCCTTTTAAAGTTTATCACTTCAAACATGAAATATTTGTTGATTACCAAAGACAGGTATGTTTAAGTATGTTTAAGATGTTCGCCCCCTTTTATTGCTTTTATTTAACTATCCAGCACTAAGAAAAAATGAGTGCCCTGTCCTCAAACAGGGCTTGTTATATTTAGTGAACTTGATATTATCGTGTACTAGTCAGATCTAGAATAGATGAGAACATATTTTTATTATACATGTATATACATATAATATATTGTTTACAAACACTGAATATGCAACAAGTAAATGTGTTTACTTGTACAATCTTAACAGAGAAATTAAAGGTATAGCTATATTATACAAATATGGACTTTTTAGCTGTTGAATATGATGTGATATGTACTGAAAAAAATAATATTGACCGAGGCGATAGCCGAGGTCAATATTAATTTTTCAGTACATATCACATCATATTCAACAGCTAAAAAGTACATATCTGTTTTATTATTTAATTTATAAATAGCTTTTATATGGCTTATCACATACAACGGAAATCATTATTATTTTTTTTTTTTTCAGCTTGTCTACTGTTTCTATAATTTGGCCCTTTCCATTGGCATGCTAATCCCTATTGTTCTTAAAATGAAAAATGGTAACTAAAATAGACTTATTTGACTCTTATGTACACCCCACTCAACGTTTTTTTCAGAATAATAACAACAAACTTGGCGTGACGTCATGTCAAAGTCTCGCGTCTTTTAGGGATTTCCAGAAAATCTATTTTTAGAAGAAAAACCGGTGAATATACTCTGAAAATCTATTTTTAGGAAAAAAACAGTGAATATACTCTGATATTGACCTGTTATTTTTAGCTCACCTGTCACAAAGTGACAGGGTGAGCTTTTGTGATCGCTTTTCGTCCGGCGTCCGTCCGTCCGTCCGTCGTCCGTCCGTAAACTTTTACTTTAAATGACATCTCCTCATAAACCACTAAGCCAATTTCATCCAAACTTCACAGGAATGTTCCTTTGGTGGTCACCTTTAAAAATTGTTCAAAGAATTTAATTCCATGCAGAACTCTGGTTGCCATGGCAACCGAAGGAAAAAACTTTAAATATCTTCTTTTAA